ACAATTATTATTATTGTAACCAATTGTACCAGAGATTGTTTTACTGTATTTGTTTAACTGTATCAGACTCACTTCTTGTTCCATATACCGCCTGGTTTGGTTCGAGCTTGCTCACGCACTGCTTGTTCGCTTGTACTCTTTGGCACGTCTCGGTATTATTTCGATACCACGAGATCGCCAATAAATATACTTGATCTGGACTAGTAAAGCCTTCTGGTTTACGGGCTATCAAGGGAACCAAGTCATATTTGTACGCGTAATCGAATAGTAGTGGTGATCATAGTCCGTCCACGACTCGACATCCACTACAAGCCCATGAAAATACCACTTTCATTCACCTTGAAAGTGGGAGGGTTATGATTATGAACTATCATATTGTTGTTAATTGTCTACCGGATGAGCCATTTCTATGCTTTGTTACTAAAAAGCACTTAACGGGATATTGGAGGCTTTACATAAAAGCACTTGGTGACTGTGAAGTCCAAATATGGACTAGATAATCCTGATATTCTCTTTCATTTTTGATTCGATTACTGATCAGTAATACTGAAGACAAACTGTATACGACAGTATAATGGAGCGCAATTAGTTTTCGATAGATTGGCACTAAGACATGTAGCGAGGAAAGGGATGATAGGTCGTAAGAAAGGTATGTTCAGCTGCGTTAAGAGGTGTGAGAACTTAAAAACCAGTGAATTAATGACTCGTGATCTGATAATGATGCTTGATCGGTGAACTTCATTAATAATAACTAGCTCAATATAAATCTCGTCTAATCTGTAAACTGCTTGCCCAGAAAGTTATCACTTACTGGTCCTGTCTATGACTTCATTTGGATTATGTGAATGATTGTTATTAGGATATATATACTGTCAACCCTTGTGTACATTTATCGACTTAAGTCGCGAAATTAAATGAGTCAAATGGGAGAATGAGGTTTGGATACGTGAATTTGCACATTAACTGACCTGAAAAGACAATCAAAGTAACGAACCAAAGGAAGCGTAGAAGAAGGAGTGAAAGGAAGTGAAACGAAATGATGCTCAGTGGAGAAGAGTAAGCCAACTCCATTTGATCAAGCTTGACCCTACATTCACTGTCATACGATGAATAGGGTGAGTAATTAACACATGTACACTTAAATAAAAATAATCAGGGTTACCAGGCAAACAAGTGACGAGGCAAAAATGCTGCTTGAGAAGAATGAATAGACTGATCTGTTCAGGGGCTAGAACAATTTATTTAAGCTTGGCCTAGTACCAGCTCCTACAAAGCTCACCTGTAGAAAATAGCATATTAATTTTAGAAATATCTGTTTTAAAAAAACACTGAAAAGGTGTGTGGTTAACTTTGACAACAAATAGTAAAGGTGTTTGTACCATATCTGACAAAGCTCAGTGGCACATGTGGAGTGAGTATATAACATAATGGTGTTATAATTACGTAAAATGTGCATGAATGTCGTAAAGGCATGGACAAAAGAATGTTAGCATTAACTTATGAGCAAATTATTAAACATCCATAAAATAACAAAGATTTATAAACAATAAAATCATACGTCCATATGAGTGGTTCAAAATACCATAAAAACAAAGTAATGAATGGCTTATGGGCATGATAATGAAAAAGATCGTAAAAATAAGTAGAGTAGAATATAATAGAGATTGATCTTTAGTGCCAACAGGATATAAGGATAAAGAATAGTTGAGCATGAACAGGCTCTAATAAACCGCAGTAGAGTGAATAACATCGGTTAACGATTAATGGATTCGAAATTACATACATGGAGTTTATGTGGAACAAAAACAATCCGGCCGTAAAATAATAAATGCATCCATGGATGATGCTCGTTGCTATACTGCAATTGATAAAGTTATAAAATCTGAAATTAGTGTACGTTGTCATTCACGTCATAACCAGATATATGGAATTATTGTTAAACATGTATTGCTAGAATGACTAGAGGAATAGAATAGTAACTATGGCGACGAGATATGAGGAGCCGTATTCCCTTTTGGTCGTAAAGTCTAGCTTGGTTTATGTCCTTTAAGGGAGATGCACTCGACCTCGTTTGTAACGAAGCCGTACTACGGTATAATACCGAACTAATACGTATGATTGTTGATGTTGAGCTAGTAAAACTGGCTTGCATGTGACGAACAATAGAATAACTCTAAACTTTGTGTTCTGATATACAGTGCTACGGGAATAGAGTATTAATTTCAGTAATCAAGTAATGTTTACGGGTAATGAATGCTTTGGGGTTCAGTTATACGTATGGGTGAATAAATGCCATGAACATGATCGTTACTAATCGAGTAACTGTTGTTAGTGTTTATGTGGTTGTGACCATGCCGTAATCGGCGTGCAGAAAGTTCGCTTGACTAATAGACAGAACGTTCGTGTGCAAGCGCGGGTTACTAGACAGCCAATTTACTTATAAGGTCTCAGGTTGTTAGGTGTACGGACAACTAGTGAGGATGTGGAGAATATATGTCATGAAATAGTATCAGTCCTTACAATCCAATACTATTATACCTGGGGAAGTTCATAATCTGTGTCTTATTCCTTTATCAGACTTATTGACCAACACTTTTCTTTTAATTACCAGAAGTACAGGTAATAAAGACTGCAACCTTCATATCCAGTGAATAAATTCTCATTAATTATCGAAAAGCTCGGAATACCTGTGCCTTGACCCTCCGTAAGTTTGGAAAGTCGTACGAAGAAAAAATCGATAAGGAATCCATAGAATGTCCTAAACGCTTGTATTCCTGTATAAACCAAAGGACAAAGAGAAGACGAAATATTCCTGAACTATGGGGAGACATTACTGCCTCATCATTAATGTAGGACAACTTTAGTAAGGCCCAAGTATTCTTAAATTACTTTAGCAGTGTATACACCATAGAAACACCTACCGCCAGTTCATGCGAATCCCCACACACAAACACTGGACAGCGTGACCACTAAAGAACTCGATGTCTTTGATCTATTAAATAAGCTTTGCATAGGTAGATCCACGGGACCCAATGAATTCCATCCTAGGCTAATAAAGGAATGATCTAACTTCGTTTCAAATCCTTCAAGTATATCCTTTAATCTATCCGTAACACGGGGTCGTTTACCAAAAGACCGGACGAACGCCATAGTAAGTCCTGTCTTCAAAACAGATACGAAACATAAACCTGAGAATTACTGACCCATTAGCCTAACCATTGTGGTTGTTAAAATCCTAGAAAAGATTATTGGGAAGGAGCTGCTTAAGTACCCCGATGAAAAAAGGATCCTTTCGGAGAAGCAGCATGGTTTTAGAATAGGTTGTTCTTGTCGCACTAACTTGCCAGTCGCTCGTGAAAGCTGGTGAAATTTTAAGGACTAAAATTTACTTGCAGAAGTAGCCTACACCGAGGCTTTTGACAAAGTTCCGCACAACCGAATGTTATATAGACTGAGAAATGTCGGGATTGGAGGCAATCTATTGATGTGAATAAAAGACTTATTTGGGAGCCAACAAAAAGTACTGGTGAACTCAAAGCTATGGAGCTGGGAAATTGTGTTTAGTGAAACATCACAGGGTATATTTTCTGGGTCAGTGCTACTTCTCTTGTACGTAAATGACCTTCCTCATCTACTATCATCATCCGTCTCTCTATGTGTTGACCATGTCAAGATATGGAGAGCTATACGAGTTAAGAACGGTAACTTAGAATCTCAAAGTGATCTGGAAAAATCATCTGAACTGTCTCAAACCTGGCAGTTACCGACAAATTCTTCCAAATGTATTGTGATGCATATCGGTCATCAAGTAATAGATGTGTACAAGATGAAGAACAATGAGCTGCCTGGTGTACAGACACACAATGACTTGGGAGTCATCGTTAGCCAAAACTTGAAGACTACTGCACACTGCCATGCAATAGCCGCCAAAGGTTTTAAAAAGTTTATGGTCAGTATTTAGGGCTTTACTCGTGTCAACGCTAAAACATTTTTGACTTTGCATACAGTATTCGTGCGCCGTAAACCTAATACTGCATACAAGGGGTAGCCTGTGCTTAAAAGGAGACATGGAGCTTTTGGAAGAGGTTCAGAGAACAGCAACTAAGCTCCCGTATGATGCTTGACTGGCCAAGCTAAACCTATTCTCACTGTCATATCGAAGAACTAGAGACGACTTGATTACAGTTTTCAAATCGACCAGTGGTAAATTTGCACCTGATATGCCCTCATTTTTCTTGTCTTCCAAAACAAAAATCTACATGGACACTCCAAAAATTTTCAAAAGCCCAGGACAAATTACTTGTCAGCCGACTATCAACTTTCCAATCGGACCATCAACGAGTGTAATTCATTACCTCAACACGTGATTGAAGCTCCACATGTCGACTCGTTCTAAAGAAGGTTGTTTCAACTTAGAAACAACCACTTTCAGAACTAAAGCAAACCGATAAGCCTCCTGTCCTTTCCAAACTGAAACTGAATTACAAATACTACATTTTTGTCAATAGGCGGAACGTACCCTATGACTTGAAGTTGTAGGCTAACTGTGACAAAAAACATCTTTCGAGCAAACCTTGCCACATTTTTGGCCAGTTTGAACTTTCCACATAATCTTCAACAGTTTTATTCGCCCCCATTTAGAGTACGGAAACATAGTATTTCCTCTCTCTCTCTCCAAAAGAATAAGGACACTCTAGGGCTCATCCAACAACCAGCTACGAAATCAGTTCGAGGACTCACATTCAAACCTTATGAAGAGCGCCTTCAATCACCTAACCTTTACCCGTTGGAATATAGGCGTCTTAGAGGTAAGCTTCTTATGGCTTACAGTATCCTTAAAACTTCTGGTCATCCCCTTTAACATCTACTCAAGCTTAGTCACAATACTAACCTAATGGGTAACACACAGAAACGGGAGACTCAACATTACCAATTTCCTTTTTTCCTATTATCGTTAATATACCTAGATTCCTGCCTTGAGGTATTAGTGATCCACTGCTACTAGACATGGAAGCCCGTTAAGCGAAAACTTCTATTCTGTCCACAAACATTTGAGCCATTTGAACTATTTTTTCACAGGCGCGGTTCTTGAAGTGTTTCACGTTATGGATCGTAAGGCAGTCATCAAAAGTAAACTACAAGGAATAGAGAGGTATTATTTTTTAAAATGTATTTTGAGAGGCATTAGCTATAACCCTGAACACATAGCAGCACTTGAAGAACATCTTTCGTGGCAGCTTATAAATAATGATTATGATTTCGAAGCTAATTTAGCTCTACTTAGATTGTATATACCAAGTTTTTGTGATTAGCTCTTCTTACATAGATATCAATTCTATCCAGAACGTTTCAATGCTGAGTGTGCGAGGTTAGTGCTGCTAAAGGCAATTATAAGCATGAGTCACTCAGATTTTACATTGTGCAAGTACTTGATTCATCTGGAACATGTAAGTTTTTGATGTACATCATTAAAGTTAGCTCAATGAAGAGCCACTTTCACAGGTTGTGAAACTTGGATTTTTCCTGGAAACTTGTCGGTTTTCTGAGTTTTGGGTTTGTTCAGTTTCATTGTTTCCCTTAATGTGTAGACGAAAGTTAAAGAAAATCCCAAAATTTTTTCTGCTATCCCTGGATTCCGTGAATCCGTATGTAAATGTAAGTACTTCTCTCTTCAGAACTTTATGCACCTGATTTTTTAATCATAACCCATTTTCCATAGAAACAGTTTCGTGCATTAGAATCCATTCATTTGATTTGTCAATAACTTGCTTTCTGTTCATTGTTCAGGAATGGTTTTGTCAACAAGGTTTGTTTTGTGCCCATAAGCATTTGCTGACTTGACATCATTTTAAGATATATGTTACTGTGGTCTACGGTAAACTGCAGCGGTGTACTCAATAATTATAATGTCACCAATCAGTCGGCTACAACGTAGGACTAGGCACATAAGTGAATCAGTCCAAGTCGCCACATCTCGTTAGCACAACAAAATGACTATTAAATTCATAGAAGTAGTTACTTCAATGGTAGCAATATATAAAAGATCGATTGCACTTAATAGTAGAGAGAATTAGTTCGTAGAAAGGTATAAAGCAATCGTAGTCTCACAGTTTGGAGGAAGACAGAGAGTGTGTACACACCTGCGTCATTGTGCTCAATGCTGAGCCATGTTAACAGAGTCTCCAACCATTGGTTACGATAGTTGCGTGGACCCCAGTCAATTATTCTGCATCTACCAACATGGCTCAGACTAGGAGTTAGTGACTTTATGGACTGGTGCCACGTTTTGGTTTGGTCACCCCTAACTTTCTTCTAACCATCCCCAACACTTGTTAGCATTTTGCGTCGTGGTAATTGGTGTTCAGGCGTACGTAACACGGCCCAACCATCTCAGTTGATGTGGATCCACAACCTCATCAACTGATTTGCCATCATTCCCTAAAACACTGCGTCTAACCTCACCATTACTTACCCGCTGATCCTAGCAGATGCGAGAAGTACTTCTAAGACATCTGGGATCAAATACTAGTAACCTACGGGTATCTCTTACCCTTAATGGCCACGTTTCGCAGCCGTAAATTTAAAGAGAACGAACTGTTGTTGTCTTTTGATTGATGGACGGATACCTCACCCTCACTATGGATGAGGCAAACGGCAAGCAAGCTTTTCGAATCCTTGCAGAGATTTAGTCAAACACCAATCCATTAGGGCTGATCAGACTTCCAATATAAGTGAAGTTGTTGATGCGTCCAACTACTTCACTCCTTATCCTTAGTTCAGGTGTTGACTCACGCCAGTCCTAAAGCAATGCTGACTGAGTATTTCGGTTATTCCTTGACAAATAATATGTTCATCAAGTTGACATTATTCTGTATTCTTTTTTAGTTAATCACGATTCACTCAGCTATAGAAGAGTAGTAAGCTAGTGGTTTAAGCACTTGAGTTCCAACTTAGATGGGCAACCCTAGCTGCTACTTTGGTGTATTTTTCTTTTGATTGACTTCGTAATTATTAAATGGAAAACCAGTCTCTTTAGGTTCTTCTATTCCCATCTTAAACAGTGTGTTTCTTCGAGGACTACTAAAAGGATGAATTACCAGATACATAATCGAGTACTGTACAGGCAAGTTAGTCAAAATCGTCACTGAAAAGACGAGATTTTACTGTGACTAAAATAAAAGCTTTTGTAATCTAGGTAGTTGGTCAGAGCAGCAATCACTCACACCACTATGTTGAACAAATAAGACAGGAGATCATTAATGTACTCTCGTGATCTTTTTTTCCACAATTCATACTTAATTCGAAACCTATCTTCCATGTGGTTTCCGAAGACGAAATATGACATTTCCTGAAATTTAATCGTCAGCCTTGATAGGGCATGGCGATAAAGCCGTAGAGGGATTGGTAATTATAAGGAAAAGATATTAGGGAGTGGAGATGCGATTCGGTCTTGAACAAGACAATCTTGTGTGCTGGTGATGTATGGGTGGTTGTCACTTCTCAGTCCCCCACATTGTGGAGGCATACGTCATGGGAAGGAAACTGGTTTACTAGTTGTTTTGTTGATTTAAGAGTGCAATCACACAGCCCTCAAGACATCTGTCTGAGTTCATCTACGCATGGTCTTTTCATGGGTAGTTTTAACATGTTACCTCTATACTTTATGACCTTACCACTGACGACGTAAACTTGTGGATTAAGGTAGTGCTGTATTACTTTGCGGGGAGACTGCATAATTGTCGAAGGGAAATATCTCACTGCCTTTCAACTAACCTATCTAGCATGTTAAAGCCAAAAGAACATGTTTCACTGTCATGGTAGTTTTATTGGGTCATCACGACAGACAGGTCTGACCATCAACATGTAGTAGCGACAGTTAGGAAATAAATTGTTCAGGAAGTGACTAGATATTATCAGTTCAAACGCCACTGAAATCATTCACTTTCTCACTATACGTTCAATATGACCGTATAATAATCGTCTGTAACATGGTGTTAGCTACCAAATAACTCTCTTCGCCTATCGATGAGAAGCTATCTAAAATCTTCCGAATTGTAGCACAGTTTTAAAACTCATTTTTATCTTGTATAGTAGTTACATCTGAAGAAACTGGTGGTTGAATTTGATGCACTGTTTTTTTCTTGATTGGAGTAGTGGCTGTATGGTTGACAAGCAGAGTATAGTATTTCAGGGCGCGTAACCTTCATCTACTCCCTATCAGTCAAAGTGACATAAGATCAATGACTATCTATTATACAGTCCAGTAAGGTGAATTTTAAAACTAAAACCCCTCTAATTATTCTTCAGTGGAATAATAAGGTTCCAACGGGAACACAAAAAGTTTTAAAAAAGTCCGGTGATATAATTCTTAGAGTCGTATGCTCGACTGTAAACCACATTTTACATTCAAAGACTAATGAGGTCATCTAAACCAAAGCAGACTTGAACCCGTAACCTAGCCTCCACACTAATTTTCACAAACTAATTATGGTTGAGGGCCTATCACGTAATATGTCCACTAGTCCAGTTCATAGTTTTAATAGCCTAGCTTCTTAGTCATTTATTTATTTGAACACATGAATATTGGTACAAAGAGGCACCGAATATACATGCGACACACAAGTCACTTGATTTGTATGTGGGCTCGGATACTACTCAGGTGCCCAGATCGAAGCAGGTGGTTTTATTAGGGGGTCACACCCACAGCCTTCTATCTAAAGATCTGGTCCACAAGGCAGTAGAGCGACTTCAGGAGATACAGCCCCATAATAGCAGGTAACCAACGATCAATTCATACGCTATTTGTTCCCTCAGGATACTGGAGCCAGCCCATGTGTACCATTGGTTTAGAATCAGGGTTTTCCAACTCCCCTAGGTAGACTTTCCGTGTCCACCGACCTTGTTAAAGCGCCAGACATTCGGTTTTCGTCCTCCCAATTTCGTAAACAACACCCATGTTACGAGAAGACAGTGAGCAGGACTTACCTGGCAGAGGTTGTATAGGCGTAGCCATGTGAGAGCATTTGGAGAGGAAGAGCGGACTCTCCCCACTCTCGACCGTTCCAGGGTATTTGGGGGCTATTTTTCTTAGAGGGGCCACATCCGGAGCCTTCGACCTATAAAGATCTAATCCACAAGGCCGTGGGACAACGTCAGTATATATGTATTCATCGGTATATATTTATGTCTTTTAAATCATTTCTATTATGTTTTAATCTCTGTCTCTTTCTATATTCATTTTAGTTATTGTACAAATTATTTCACAAACCTATCAACGTATATCCAAATCATTATTAATGAGTTTTTTGGATATGTCAGAAAATGATTTAAAACAATTCATTAAACAATTTGGATGGTCAGAAACAACCGACGATGCTGATCATGATCAACAACTGATCTTAGTTAATAATCATGAAGAAAATATCAAATCCGTACAAATAAGAGAACGAGTGAATTTCGATTCAATCACATCAATGTCTGATGCATTTAGACCATCAAAAAGTGATTTCTTTATTAAAACAACATACAATAATAATCATAATCATATTCATACTAAATAAATTAATTCATTATTTATTATATAAAGGAATACAATTTTGGTTTTTTTTTTCAAATTTTCTGAAGGGAGTTTTGTGGAGATTTTAGTATTTTCATAGTTGAAAGCGTGAGTCAATTGTGAAGCTACTAAACCACCACCAGGGAAAACTTGGAAGCATTCGAATCTCGCTCGCGAGGCGGGATCGTGGATGAGCACACTGTTGAAGAGGACAAAACGGCCATCCAATGCTTCCAGGTTTTCCATGGTGGTGGTCTAGTAGCTTCACAATTGACTCACGCTTTCAACTTTTAAAATTTTGTTTCCCTGTACATTTGCCTTAGCAACAACAACAGATTTGTGCCAGCAATCATAATCATGAATATGAATCGTTAAATTAAATTAAATTAATAAGAGAAATAGAATATAAAGTAAATCAATGAAATATCAATAGAATAACTTTTTAAAGTTCCTTCTGAATAAAATTTGGAATACAACTTTGTTTTATTGATTTCCCTGTACATTTGCCTTAGCAACAGCAACAACAACCATAACAACAAATTTGTGCTAGCAATCATAATCATGAGTATGAATCGTTTATTAAAATTAATAAGAGGAATTAATTTTATAAAGTGATTGTTAGATATGTGTGTGATTGGTTTTGGGTAATCTTATTTGTACAAACAACCAAAAAAGAAAAGTGAACATGAGGGTGTGTGTGTGTGGGGGGGAAACTGAGATCATTCCATTGTAGATAAATTAAGAAATGATGATGTTTGAAATATATGCTTAGATACTTGTTGTGAAGCAGATGGAAAAAGTGTAAGTAATGGATAAATCCATTGAAATGATTTATTTAATAGATAATCATTTGATGGAATGGTAGTAGTAGTAGTGGTAGTAGTAAGGTTAGCTGTTGTTGTATTTGATGATAAGTCATGTTTACTTTGATTAATTTTAAAAATAGTACCAAATTTTTGTTTAATTATTTGACTAAATCGATGAACAGTTCTAGTAGTCCATAACCAAGAGGGGATTACATCACGATGTGTATTATTTGTAATCTATTATTATAAATATAAAATAGACAATATAAAGTAGAGATGGACAAATGGTCAGAGAAAAATAAAGATTATTTCGGCATTTTCATAGTTGAAATCATGAGTCAACTGAAGCTAGACCATAATGGAAAACCTGGAAGCATTGAACGGCCGTTTCGTCCTATTATGCGACTCCTCATCACCAGTGGAGTTCAATCACGTCAGTTGTGAGATAACAACTCACTGAAGACAATTAGTGAACGGTCGCTCAAATTTCATGAATTGGTTGTAGTTATGCATTAACGCCGTTGCATGCCTGCCGGCTCAGTGGTCTATCGCTTAAATGCTCTGGCGCGAGACTGATAAGTCCTGGGTTCGAATCTCGCTCACGAGGCGGGATCGTGGATGCGCACTGCTGAGGAGTCCTAAAATAGGATGAAACGGCCGTCCAGTGCTTCCAGGTTTTCCATAGTGGTCTAGCTTCAATTGACTCACGCTTTCAACTATGAAAATACTAAATTCTCCACAAAACCCCTTCTGATTATTTCGGCATTATTAGTTACAGTGAATGATTTGATTGATGCTTAAAGAAGAGCACTACTAAATGGACATTGTAATATGTTATGTCAAAAGATTTAACAACTAATTCTAGTCTATTCATTCAACCTAGCGTGAAAGTTAACGAACATTGTATATAAATGAAAGAATAGGGGGGGGGGTAACAGAGTGATAATATCGATAATCATATGAAGTATTCAAATTATGACCAATCTACTTGATACCTTTAATCTACAATGCAGATATTTAAACGCAGATGAATCTAAACAGAACCTTATATTATATCTATCTATAAAAGTGGAAAGTCAGTCAGTCAGCTACAACGTAGGACCAGGCACATTTATGCATCGGTCCAAGTGGAAATGTTAATCTTCATCCAGCAATAGTAGTGGATTTATGTAATTTAACACTTTAGTGTATGATTTCAGTCCGTTTGATGAGGCAGATTAAATAGTCGCGCAAAGCTTTTAAATCGTAACCAATTCTCCACCATAGATATTTTATATGGTTTGAAGATTATTTTCATTAGCCAGGAAACAATAAATAACCGATTCATTTCATAGTTCTTTCAACTGTTATCCCAACAATGATCGAAACAGGGATCTTTTAAATATGTTGGTGAGTGCAATATATCTTTGAAAAAGCTGAGTTGAAATCCCATGCTACACACTTCTGGCATCAAGTAAATGTCAAAATACAATGGACTGTTCGATAGCATTTGATCATCCCAAAGGACGGTGCTAGTCACTGCTTAGTCGCAAACTACGGTAGCATTAATAGCTACTTGACCACTGTTTACCTCGATATATAATACTAGCTGGAAAAGAAATAGGTTTGACGAAAACCCGGAGCGGTCAAACTAAGACACAGGGTCACTGACTGGTGAACTGAACTGTATAGAAATTTCGTATGATCGGTTGCTTTTATGAATTTGAATAAAGCCAGAACAAATATGGATGCAAAATAATGTGGATTTATTGTATTTCGCGGTTTCTCATAAGTTGCTTACAACCATCTATGTATTGAAAGTTAACACTTAGATATAAAGTGAAACAATTAACATAAATGAACGAAAAGAATTAGGATCACAAAGGCTAACCTAAAACGGGTTGGAGGTCATCTGAAGTTGGCATTGAAGACATAAGGGGAGGGTGATGCATTAATCAAATGAAGTTCGTAGATAGATGAGATAGATTGTGTGATAATGTTAGAGGTTATGAAGAGTTTACAAATGCCCTGGTACGGCCGAGAGTGGGGAGAGTCACCTCTCCCTCTCGAAATACTCTCATATGGCCAGCGAAGTCCTACTCACTGCCTTCTCGTGGCGGGGGTGTTGTTTACGAAAGTGAGAGGACGAAAAGCGAATGTTCGGCGCTTTAACCGGGTTGGTGGACACGGAGGGTCCACCTAGGGGAGTTGGAAAACCCTGATTCCAAACCAATGGTGCACATGGGCTCCAGTATCCTGATGGAACGAATGGCGGATGAACCTGTCATTGGTCAACGGCTACCATGGGACTGCATCTCCTCACGATGCTCCACTGCCTTGTGGATTAGACATTCAGGTCAAAGGCTCCGGGTGTGGCCCCTAAGAAAACCACCTGCTTCAGTCTGGGCACCTGGGCAGTATCACAGCCCTCACACAAATCGAATCAGATTTGTGTGGCGCATATGTATCTGGTGCTTCATTGTACCAATATTTCTGTGTTTAAATAAATAAATAATAAGACTACTGGGATTAAGGGTTGGGAGGATGGGTTACGCAATAATTGAATAGAGTTTGAAGGGTTTGCAAAAGTTTTCACTCAATTCTCTTTCAATACATAAATGGTTGTAAGCAGCTGATGAGAAACTACGAAACATAATGAACTCATAATATTCTGCATCAGTATTTGTTTATTCAAATTGAACTGTGTTGGTAGATGCAAACTGTTAGGTTAGGAGCCGCGCGACCAGTGGTTAGGAACACTGGGTGACATAACTTAGTGGCAGATCCACTCTTGATCTCCAGGATCTTGAGTTCCAGTACTTCTTCATTTTCCCTATCCAATCATATTCATGATATCTAACTTCTTATAATCACTGATGCTAATATTAGTTCAATTCCTGCCATTCATCTTGATAATTTTATCTTGTTCTGAAGTAACACGACAATAGGGGAGTGTTATATCCCGATGACAATAGTGAATGGTAACTTTGGGATCCATTTATGGGTCAATATTATGCATATAATTTTTGTCGTATTTTTGCTAAATAATTAACTACTCATATTCATGTTCCCTTCATTGTGAGCTTTATTTTAACACTTGGACCATTATTGTACGATTTATCATCCCTGAGTTATACCCAGTCTATAAATTACTATTCCCCTTATTCACAGCCACATTTGGTTGAATCTTGTACAAATGTTATTTCCTATTTTATTGGTACGATGTGGTCAATCTGTTTGGTATATAAACTCAGTATGTTTGAGAATAATGATTCATACCACAGCGGCTGTTATTGGTGTTCTGGACTTCACTGGCTGGGCTAGGTAGAAGCAGGATCGATAAGCACTCTAGACTGCTCGTATAGTTTTCATGTGTCACTGTTTCAATCGATAATTCGCTGCTCTCTGACTGGCGATCTCATCACGTCATACATTAAGAAGGCATCGACTCGGCCACAAGTTATAACAGGGAGGTGCTAAGAACAGACCAGGTTATCTTGTTTCTTATTATAGGTTGGTTATTTTTTGAAATGCTAGTCTGGATGACATTTTTCAAACTTCTACAATAACATTTGCTGTTACCTGATTGGCTGTTATTACCTATCGTTTGCTATTCTATGTGCTCTAACGTCATTGGATGTTACAATATAAACAGACTTATTCCTTCCCAGTTTTTGACTTCTATACAGGATATAAAGTTATCCTAGAAGCCTCGTTGCCACTATCTCATATTAGAGCATGGATTATTAACGTTAAAGTGTTTTTTGTGTGTTAGACGTATGGTCTGTTGGAGCTCCTATTCTATTCTTTGCGTCGTACTAGAAAAAGCTTCAGTCATTCGTAAAGAGAATTTATTTTATTTATTTTTATTTGAACGCATAAATATTGGTACAAAGGGGCACCGAATATACATGAGACACCCAAGTCACTTGATTTGTGTGTGGGCTGGGATACTACACAGGTGCCCAGACCGAAGCAGGTGGTTTTCTTAAGGTTATTTATTTATTTAATTAAACATAAATATTGGTACAAGGAAGCACCGAATACATATGCGCCGCACAAATGTCACTTGATTTGTGTGAAGGCTGTGATACTGTCCGGGTGCCCAAATTGAAACAGGTGGTTTTCTTAGGGGACCATAACCGGAGCTTTTGACCTACAGGTCTGATCCACAAGGCAGTGGAGCGTCGTGAGGAAATGCAGTTCCATGGTAGCCGGTGACCAACAATTGATTCATACGCATTCGTTCCCTGAGGATACTGGAGCCAGCCCATGTGCACCATTGGTATGGAATGAGGGTTTTCCAACTCCCCTATGTGAACTTTCCGTGTCCACCAACCCGGTTAAAGCGCAGGACATTCGCTTTTAGTCCTCTCAGTTTAGTAAACAACAGCTCCGCCACGAGAAGCTAGTGAGTAGGACTTCTCTGACAGAGGCTATATATGCGTGGCCATGTGAGAGCATTTGAAGAGGGAGAGCGGACTCTCTCCCCTCTAGGCCGTAACAGGAAACCACCATACGTTAATCATTTTCACCAGAATTTAACAATCAATTCAGTAGTCATATCAAAATCAATTTTTATCTATATTGAACTGGTGAAAAACACACAAAAAAGAAGGTACCTGGATATCAGAATTGCATGCAACATCAAGTTGATCTACATGTTCAATAATTTTAGAAGAACTTCTATTTGAATTTCTACATGTCATTGGCTGTGTACATGAATATTGTGCAATTGGACACATCAATCGATATACTTTTTCTTTACTTGAATAATTTTCTAAAACTAACACAGTTGGATGAATACAATTATCCTTCAACAGAGATTGAGTATTATGCTTATCAAAACATGCATCTTGTATACGTAAGACTTTACATCGACTAGCTGAATACTAGAAAAAAAAGAAATCAAATGTTATGTGAAGTAAGATATAATTGAAAACAAATGATAAACATGAAAGAATCTCAGTCCTACAGGAGGTCGGTCTCGGTCCGAATAACTCACTGGTAACGTCTCTGACTGTGAAGCTGAGTGACACGGGATAGAATTCGTCAGGGAGCACCAGGTCCCTCAAGATTACAGGTACACCTTGCTGATGAGTGCCAAGTAGCACGATACCCGGGTTCAGAGTTTCCTGTTGACCACATCCAACCACCATCTTATCTCAATATATAGTGTACGCAGTGTCGAGTCAGCTAGACTAGTGGCCACATTGCAACTTGATCGATAGCATTCGATCAGCACTAAGGACTTGACACGCATGAAATTGATCACCACCCAGTGATCAATCAATCGTGATGCTACTGATAGTTTGATGTTTCAGACAGATACTACTTAATGTCTTATAAATGAACTTATAACAATACAATGCAAGTCGCTGATACAGTATGCAGGTCCGCGCAATTATACTTTTGGGCTAGTGATACCAACTTAGCCAGACCAGAATATGCAATCTAATGGCAGATAATCAATTAAGGCATCTGAAGAAGTGATATACAAAGCCAAATGTATGATTAAGCATGTTGTGCAATTAGTGACAACAGATTGTCTTGAAGGAACCAACTTCCTCATTGTCAAAGGAAGCATTATATGTCACTTGTAGAGGAAGAGTACTCCAACCCATTAAATTGAAAAAGTCCTAGAACTCACGTTTTCTATACCCTTGCTTAATTACTACACAGTATTCCTTAAGCATAAAGTCAAGAAGAAAAGTATATCGTGCACTTCTCAATAAGACATGGTCAGTTCACTTTGCCCGAATATCAGATCTTGCTGGTTGATGCTGACAAGCAAGGATATCACAATATACACCTATTGTCTTCAAGCTTTGTATATTAGATGAGATAAATTGAATTATCGTGTTGTGCTAATTAGCTCATTTGCTACACTCCATTGCTTAAATTTCATAATTGAAAATAACAGGAAGGAAATTTCGGTTACTAACAATTCTATTGAAGTATAATACTAGGATAGATTCATCGCTGAAAAGTTGACTCAAGTTGTGAGCTAACAGTGGTCTTACAGGAACACACTGGTTATGAGGCTAAAAAGTTCTGGTATATTTCCTGGACATTATCAAGTTAACCTGCACTGGGAACAGAGCATCTGTTCAGTGATTATCTGTCTCCAAGTTATTTCATGATGTAGACGAAAAAAGGCATTCTGAACTTGAACTACAGTAGTGATATGGCAGGTATGATAAACTGTGCATATATAAATCTTTACGAAGCTAGCACCCAAATGCCCTGGTACGGCCTGGAGGGGAGAGAGTCCGCTCTCCCTCTCCAAATGCTCTCACATGGCCACGCATATATAGCCTCTGTCAGAGAAGTCCTACTCACTAGCTTCTCGTGGCGCTGTTGTTTACTAAACTGAGAGGACTAAAAGCGAATGTCCTGCGCTTTAACCGGGTTGGTGGACACGGAAAGTCCACATAGGGGAGTTGGAAAACCCTCATTCCATACCAATGGTGCACTAGGCACCCAGGCAGTATCATGACCCTCACAAGATTAAGTGAAATGACAGTTTTTTGTGTGGCGCATATGTATCTGGTGCCCCTTTGTACCAATATTTATGTATTCAAATAATAAAATAAAAACAGAATCGAAATCCTGTGCTTTACAGAAAGCAATTTAGAAATGCATTTCCTGAAGTCCTATTTCTTCAAATATCATGATTTAAAGAGATAATTACATTTAAAATCAGGCGGTTATCACTGATGGTATTGAATGGTGGATGACCACTAAATCAATATCTAACCAAAGTTGGAAATACAGATATTGTACATCGTGTCATCAGTTGCAGACTTATTTTTTCGGTTTCCATTCAAACTGCAGAAAAGTGAGGCTCGAACGTGTAACTTGTTGGTTGAAAGCCAAATGCACTAATAATTAGGCCATCGCCTCATTGTGCCGCGAAAGCGGTTCACCCTCTCCTAGCTCAGTGTTTTAAAGATAGCGTGTTTGTTGAGAAACACAAAGTTTGTAGCTTTGATCTCATGGTTGAGCAGTCCTGAAAATATTTATTTATTTAAACACATAAACATTGGTACAAGGAAGCAACAAATATATATGTACCACACTTCATCATTTGCTTTGTGTGAGGGTGGTTTACTTAAGGGGCCACTCCCCGAGCTTTCGACCTAAAGGTCTGATTCACATGGCAGTGGAGCAACCTCAGGAGATGCAGTACTATATTAAACGGTGCCTGACAATAGGTTCACACCCCATTTGTTCCCTCAGGATACTGGAGCCAGCCCATGTGCCCATTGGTTTGGAATGAGGGTTTCCCAACTCCCTTAGGTGGACTTTCTGTGTCCACCAACCCGGTTAAAGCGTTGGACATTCGCTTTTCTTCCTCTTAATTTCGTAAACAAAATCCAGGCTAAGAGGAGGCAATGAGCAGGACTTCTGTGGCAGTGGCTGTATACCCATGTCCATGTGAGAGAGAGCGTTTGGAGAAAAAGGACTGACTGCCCCCACCCTCGACTGTACCCGGGTGACAAAACGACTGTCCAGTACTTTCTACAACTGACGTTAGTATCACTTCATCAGATGATACTGTTGTGAACAGGACACGACTCGTTGGGGACAATCGAATGTATTTAAGCAAAGATTACAGACTATCTCAATAAATTCTGATTACCAAACAATGAACAGTCAATTTGCAAATTAACTACCAATTGTTTCAATCCTCACTGTTTCTTCTCTTATTCCATTGCTCATGCATTTTCCAAACGATTACGCTTCATTTCAGTTTTTTGCTCATCGGTCTTCTGCCAAAATACATTCAATATCTGACCCACACCATATACTACTTATATGGATATAAGTAGACCACACCACAATACAACCATTAAAAAACAAAAAATCACAACACAGAAAACTTACATAATTCGGTGAGTTTAAAAGTTCAGTTTTCCTCATTTTCAATGGATTCAAATTTGAAGATATAATAGACCATGGTATGAATTGTTTTAATGATTTTGTATAAGTTTTAAATAAAACTAAAAAAACACATTCATTACTTATTGAATGAGTATTATTCAATGAGATTAATAATACAGCCCAATAATTTTTATATTTTTTATGAAGTCGACGTGATTTCTTGATACATTTACAATTACAACTTGTTGAAATGGGTTGAGGAGAGTATAATTGTTCATTGAGGTATTCTGTTGATTGTTCACCTTTATGTACACTATGATTATGATGATTAGAGGAAGACGATAACGAGGTAGATGAATCTAATTTCATTGAAGATAAAGAAGTTTGTGATGAATATGAACAGGAAAGATTAGCGTTGATAGTAGGTGGTGAATGTATTTCATTTAGATTATAATCAATATTTGGTTGTATATTTGACTTATGTTTCACTGGTGACTGACTACAATTTACTTGTAATTCCGATGAAATAGTGGAAAAATTGAAACGATCTGTGAATGAAGTTGATAGTTGTGATGGTGATGTACTACTATTGACTGATGATGAACTATGAAATTTGGCAATTTTAAATGAAGTTAAAGATGTAGTACAACATAGTAAAGGACCCTAGAGATAAAACATGAAACAATAACAGTAACATAACAAAAATAATGAAAATTATCTATTAACATTTTATTTAGACACATAAATATTGGTACAAAAGGGCACCACATACATATGCGCCACACAAATCTTATGTGATTTGTGTGAGGGATGTGATACTGTCCGGGTGCCCAAACTGAAGCAAGTGACTTTCTTAGGGAGCCACACCCCAAGCCTTTGACCTACAGATCTGATCCACAAGGCAATGGAGCATCGTGAGGAGATGCAGTCTCATGGTAGCCGGTGATCAACGATTGATTCTTACGCCATTTGTTCCCTCAGGATACTGGAGCCCATGTGCACCATTGTTTTGGAATCAGGGTTTTCCAACTCCCCTAGGTGGACTCTCCTTGTTCACCAACCCGGTTAAAGGGACGACATTCGCTTTTCGTTCTGTCAATTTCGTAAACAACACCCTAGCCACGAGAAGGCAGTTAGCAGGACTTCCCTGGCCATATGAGGGCATTTCGAGAGGGAGAGCAGACTCTCCCACTCTCGGCCATACCAGGGCATTTGGGGGCAATAATAACAATAATAATGGCGTAATATTAGCACTCTTTAATTATATCTCGATGAGTAGGAATTTGCATTTCTGACGTTTCGTGACTTAGTTTAACTCACTTCTTCAGAGTACATAAATAAATATGAATTAAGGTCAGTTTTAAATTATGAAAAAAGTAGTCATTATAAAACGTAATCTTTTCTACCATAATCACCGTTTTGGACGTAATTATATTTTCCTAATTGTTTGTGCGTTACGGTCTTGTTAGTCATCTTTTTATTCATATATCTTTTTACACTAATCTAAAATCGGGAACCAGATCGGAAATGGGACTAAATCAAGTAGTGTTCCAGTTAAGTCGTCTTCTCCCCCCTTCTCTCACGTGCTTGTCAGCCAGTCAGGTGATAGAATAGTTTTCGTATCTCTATCCCAAACAGTTAGTCTCATTTTGAACTCACGCATACTAGCCTCAATGTTAAACCAGTTAGCCTATCGCGTCAAGATCTTAATGTAGATTAGACAAGTTATCCTTTGCACAAAAGTGGGTAGACAGATCAAGTAGCTACTTACGAACATCCCTACAATAATGAAACTAACTAGTTATCTCACGAGTCTGTATAAACCCTCTACACCAATCAATGTCGATGGTAGCTGTGAAGTGTATTTTCAAGCCTAACTATCTCAACAGAGGTGATAACCAATTTATCTTCCTTACGTAGAATTCTGTTCAAATGACATATCGGGCAGACCTACGTAAATCACTTATTGTCTATACGACCCCATTGTGAATGCGATACAAGTATAAGCGTCTTATAATGAAGAATTGACATATTCTTCTAAGCAATTTCATCCTCCAAATGTGAATCTCTGCCTAGCAACTTATAAATATGCGTGAGCTGTGAATATTATATTTCTATCCCAATCGTTGCTGCTACCTTGACGTGGTGGTCGGGCTTACCTATCGTGATGAACCAATCGAGCTATACTGGCTGGAACAATCGTTCCTCAAGGTCCTACCATGCCAGACAGGTCGGTTGAAGAGCGGTAAGACTAAAAGCAGCAATCCCAAGGTCCGAAGGCGAAGTCGTACTGTCGACTGTAAAGAGTTGTGACGGCAGTAAGGTGTTTCTTTCAGACAGCCAGCATAACAGCGATGCTGCCTTCCCACAAGGAAAGGTCGACCATAAAAATGCACACCTCGCCTTATCCCACGGATTTCCGTCTCCTTCGTTAAGGTCCTTTGAAGAACGGAGCTAACACGTCAAACATCTCCCAGAAAAGGCCGCGCGTGACCGGCCTTAAACAGTTGTCCCTTAGACACTGCGGTCACACACCCAGGTTGTTAAGACCAACACTAATTTAACTATCTTTTCAGGTCCCTCAAGAAATACCCTTCCACGGTGTGGGCAACCGGGAAGTGATATTAGTCCTCATACCCGATTATATTTCTATTATCAGAAATAAAGTTCTTCATGTGGTCATAATCCTTCCTCCTCTGTACAGTTGGATGATTAACAGTTAAGAATCAGACAGAAGAACACTAACCTCAACCTTCTCGAAAGAGAACAAAGAGAATATTCATAAAGAAACTTACTTCTCGAATTACTTCTAAATTATTTGCTAATTTTATATTTAAATAAGTTGAGTTTATTGAAGAAGATTGTGAACAAGAATAATTTGATGTTGACATTAAAACCGGGGAATGATGATGATGACGATGATGAATAAAAGTAACATCCTTATCCTTTGTAATATACTTATCATCATCATTATTAGAAATGGTTACTTGAACAGCTGCAAGTGCAGCTAAAGCTAAATGAGATAGGTTCGTTGAAGAATGTTGTTGTTGTTGTTGATGCGATGACAGCTCAGGTAAATGTAATGATGATGATCGAATTTTCGTTGTAGGCAATACAAATGGATATGTTTGTGAAAGACGATAATGATTTGTTAATGGTGTAGTACAATTATTAAATGAATGATCTTTTTGAGATGATTGATAGAACATTGATGGTGAATTGAGTGAAGAATTATGATGTAATAGTTTAGTAACAGAGATTTTCTTTCCATCTAAAAAAAGTGAAAATAACATAAAATGAAAGTGTACCCAGTCCAAGTGAGATTTTAATGAATAAGCTCATTATTAATAATAAGCGAAAGCCATGGTGCAATCAAAACATACACTGAACAATGATTACATGAATACGGGTGAACAAGTTTGTTATCTTACTTAACAAAGAATCATGATAGTGCATGGTTTGGTGCGACACATACACACACACAGTACACGTGTATCAACGTAAAAATTGTGCACTAAATATCTAATTAAACAAAACTAAAAGTTGAAAGCGTGAGTCAATTGAAGCTAAACCACCATGGAGAACCTGGGAGTACTGGACGATCGTTTCCTCCTATTATGGGACTCCTCAATAGTGCGCACCCACCATCTGGCCTTGCGAGATTCGAACCCAGGATCTACCATTCTCGCGCCATAGCATTTAACCGATAGACCACTGAGCCGGCATCCATGGTATTAATGTCTTACTTCAACCAATCCACTGCTGAGGAGTTCCATAATAAGACGAAACGGCCGTCCAGTGCTTCCAGGTTTTCTCTGGTGGTCGACATTTAATTGACTTACGCTTTTAATTATGAAAACACTAAATCTCCACAAAAAAAACCCTGTATGAAAATTAAAAGTACCTATAGGATTCAGTGATAATGAGTGACAATAATGATAAAATTAGTATTCAACAAGGTGAAAAGTAGAAATTTGTCAGCATTCAATTATATCAGTCAGTAAGTCAGCTACAACGTGGGACCAGGCACATTTATGTATCGGTCAAAGTTCCCATAACTCACACATTGGAACAACAAGATGAACACCGGATTCATAGAAGTAGTTACTTCACTGGTGGTAATGTATTAAAGAACGATTGTATATAAGGATATAGTACAGGAAGAAAGACAGATATGAAGACATTATAATCTCACGGTTTAAGGGAAGATAAAGAGTGTATACACCTACGCCATTGTGATGGATTCTGAGCCGTGTCACCTAGAGTCTTCAACCATTGGTTACGATAGTCACACGGACCCCAATTATATCACTATTGATGATGATTTACACAGTGAAATTATGAATATATCTTCAATGTAGTAATATGTATTCTTTATTTAGTCAACTTCTTGAACAGTTATTTCATTCTTGAATAAGACTTGTTAGTGATAAGCAACTACATATAATGGAACTGAAGACAATGTCCTCAGTTGACCAGTTGTAAGTGGCGAAGGATAATGCGGGTTTTCTTGTTGTCACGAGAGGCATTGCCGGCCAACTCAAGGACTTCGGCTGCCAGGCACTCGAGGAAAGCTGCCAAAAAGACAGGTGCACCAGCCCCGATACGTTCAGCATAGTTTCCCTTGCGAAGGAGACGATGGACACAACTAACTTGGAACTGCAGACCAGCACGACATCGAGACCTTCCAGCTTTGCCACGTCCACTCATTGTCCGCAAGAGCCGAGAAACAATACTATTGCACTGTTGAGTTGAAATCATACAATAACGATAATGGATGCATACAACTCAAGAGTATTCAACTCTGAGAAAACGCTTATCCAATATTGAAAATCGATTTTTTCTTAAAGTAAATGTTATCTCACTAGGGAAAACCATCTAGAAATCATACGAACACCTCGACAAGACCTGTTGAAATCTTATACCTATTATTATATGATATATTATTTATTTAAACACATAAATATTGGTACAGAGGGGCACCAGATATACATGCGCCACACAAAACAATGAAAATGGGAAGAGAAAGGGGTAAGATGCATATATATATATATATATATATATATATATATATATATATATATATATATATATATATATATATAAGTAATGACGGGGGAAACTGAAATGTACAACTAGAAGAATTCTTTCAGTTAATAAAGTTACAACCACTCTTTATGAAGAAAGTAAAAGAAGGTGGTTACAACAGGATAGCCATTGGCTTCTATTCTGAGCCATATCTGATAACGTCTCTAGCCACTGTGTAGCACCATCTCTCGGACCCCAGCCAGGGAATCATGAAGGACCAACAGAAGATGGTCCTCTACATACTTCTTTCATACCATGACATCATGTCATTCACTGACCATCTCTCTAATCTCTTACCTAGTCAAGAAATGTTCATATGATGTATTTATTTTAAACACATAAATATTGGTACAAAGGGGCACCATATATATATATATATATGTGCGCCACATAAACCTCATTTGATTTGTGTAAGGGCTATGATACTACCTAGGTACCTAAACCGAAGCAGGACATGTGAATACAAGTGCATTAAACGCTTATACAGATAAAAAAAATGTGCAGAAAAGTAGCAACTTATATGTAGCTTTGATAAACAAAATGAAATGAATCTTGTACAATAATGACAATGGTAGCTAATAACCACACACACACACACACACACAAACAGTGTAAATGTATAACTGAATTCATTTTTACTTACTATATATACATTTAGTTATATTAGAGGCCATATAAATGCTTGAGTATGTACAGAGTCTAGAAAACACCTTAAATATATAGACAAAAAAGAAAACTGGGGCAAAAACATAGAATTGAATCTAATTATTTTACACACACACACCCCCCTCTTTCTCCTATTTAAGTAGTATATGTATACATAGTTAAAAAAAGAATAGGGGAAAACAAAACAATTCAGTCTAAAGTCTTGTAGTCATTTTACGATTAGTAGGTGAATGACAATGGGAAAGATTTGTTTTTCTTTGATCATGTCTATTATTCAAATCTTTAAATGATGTATTAGTAGAAGATTTATGCTTACTACTAGTACTATTATGATGATGATGATCATCATCAGTGGTAGTAAGATTAGTACTCCTTTTCTGTTCCAAATTTGACATTCCCATATTGGTATAATTATGATGTTGTTTTATTCTACGACATGGTGTACCGGGAACAGTTTTGGCATTGGATATATCATCGGGGAAAATAGACGATTGATTTCGTGAATAAGTTGATTTTGATTGCATAATACATTGTAGTTCAATGACAGAATTATTCGAGGATGATGAATAAATAGGCATTGAATTACGAGAGATCATTTGTTCCTTTTTGATTGACTGTTTATGATTATCTGGTTTATTTAAGCAATCAGTGAATACAAGAAGGTGAGGTGAAGACCTGGAGGAATTAGATGATGGATGATCACCAAACATAAAATATAAATCGCCATTGGGTTGGTTAGATGTTTTGGTATTGTTATTATTATTATTACTGTTATCATTATTATTATTCATATATCTCTTGAGTATTATAGGTGAGGATCTTTTGGCAAATCCATGGTTCTGATTGGATAAGGAATTTTTCGTAGATTCACTACAGAGTGGAAGTGTGACAAGCAATAAATAAAGACAAGAGAAAAAAAACCCAGAATAAGTACAGAGGCAATTGTACATTAAATAAATAAATGTATAATTATGCAGCGTTACTAAGCTCTTCAAATGGATTATACATATGGTTAAGATATAGACTCGTAAATGTAGTGGGGAGGGGGTTATAGAAGTCTTAGGGGGTTGAAGATAGTTCAGAATAAGCCGTGAACCTAGGTTTCATGGAACTGGCCAGGAAGGCATGCCTACAGTCTTAATAAAACTGATGTTCCGGTGGGATTTAAACATGCATCACCCACGTCCACAGTCTGAGATGTTACCCACTGAGTTATTCGAGGTGATATTAAAATAATGCATTAAAATTACATATATATCAGTAAGAGACTACTGAACGATTGAAAAATCATAGCTGATAGAAAGAACAGAAGAGTTGAAAGGAAGATACGTCAAATTCTGATTATCATGGGTAACTAAAACGAGATTTCTATCTTCTAACGAAGGGGAGAGTATGATGCCTAGCACTCCACTCTTTATTACATTACAAGTAATGAAACATGACCTATTAGAAATATTAGACATGCGTAAACTAATGGTTCTTGATTATATTTGTTTTTGAGGCATCGCTTACATATTTTGGGACAACTAAATGAGTAATATTAAGGTTAGGCGAAGAGTAATATTGAACACTGATTGTGAAATTTTCATCAAATGAAGTGGTGCAGACCTACGGTAAGTAAGCTTAACTATCGTGTACCTCGACAGGCAACGTTGGTTGGAATAGAAGCAAGTTGGAAGTTAGGGGTGTCAGAATAAAAAATGGCATTAGACCATGAGATCATTGAGTGCTGGGACTGACCTACGTTAATAGGTATGGAGTACTTAGTTAGGGTCCACCCAATTAGTGGTTGGAGATACTGAGTAACATGACTGAGAATTGATCATAATGCTTCAGACGTATGAATTCTTCATCTTCCGCTAAGACTTAAGCTTCAATATTATTTCATTATTTATTTATTTATTTGAACACATAAATATTGGTACAAGAAAGCACCAGATATATATATATGTGCCACACAAAGCTCATTCGATTTGTGTGAGGGCTGGAATACTGCCCGGGTGCTCAAACTGAGACTGGTGGTTTTCTTAGGAGGCCACACCCCGAGCCTTTGACCTAAAGGTCTGATCCACAAGGCATTGGAGCATCGTAAGGAGATGCAGTACCATGGTAGCTGGTGACCAAAGATTGATTCATACTCCATTTCCTTGTTCAGGATCCTGGAGCCAGCCCATGTGCACCATTGGTTTAGAATCAGGGTTTTCCAACTCCACTAGGCGGACTCACCATGTCCACTAACTCGGTTAAAGCGCCGGGCATTCGCATTTCGTCCTCTCAATTTCGTAAACAACACCCCTGGTGCGAGAAGGCAGTGAGTAGGACATCTCTGGCAGAGGTTATATACGCGTGGCCATATGAGAGCATTTGGAGAGGGAGAGCGGACTCTCCCCACTCTCGGCCGTACCAGGGCATTTAGGGGATTATTATTTCATACTCTTTATCCCTTCAATATATATTAATAACTTACGGATTATTAACAGATAATTTCACATTTCTTTTAAAATGTGGTGATCGAGGTAAAAGATGACTACTGCTACCAGTGTTAGTAGTAGTACTAGTAGTTGAAGTAGATGAATTTTGTTTATTGTCAGTCTATAAGGAAGATTAAAAAAAGCGATTATCAAATAACTCCATAATGGAAGACAATTGACTTTAACTAAGGAAACATAGAAAAATTAAACAGAAGTTAGTACTGGATCTATAAGACGAATAAGACGAATCAAGTATCGATTCATGTGATAAGACTATTTTGGCGCCTATCTCTTGTATCTATTATTTTCTCCGATCATTTTAGTGTGGGCTATGAAAAGATTTCCAGAAACCTTCTGTCAGGTGATTGGGACAAGTTTTGCATATAACCAACTACTTCTATTTCGATACATGATGTATCTTAGTGTAGTAGTAGTAGACGGTTAAAAACTAGATTGCCTGAATCAAGACACACCTTCAGTTCATAAAGTAGTTGACTGTCGGACTCAGCCATGTTCATAAGTGAAAACTGACTGGTTGGGGTCCGCGGGATTATTGTAACCAATGGTTGGAGATGATGGTTGATATGGCTCAGAATTGATCACATTGGCCCACGCGTATTTAATCTTGAGTTCTGAAACTAATTTGTACCTTTTCTCAAGTAAATTCATTCTTTTTTCCAAGTGTTCTGTTCATATTTAGTGTTTACCAATATCACTGATACTGTAAATCGGTTGATGAGGTTGTGAATCTTTATCGACTCAGATGGTTAGGCCACGTGTTACGTATGCCTGAACACCGATTACCACGACGCGCAATGCTGGTTAGTTTTGGCGATGGTTGGAAGAAAGTTAAGGGCGGTCAAACCAAAACTTGGCACTAGGCCAAAAAGTCACTAACTTCTGGTCTTAGCCATGTTGGTAGATGCAGACTAATTGATTGAGGTCCGCTAGACTATCGCAATCAATTGTTGGAGACTCTGTGTGGTATGGCTCGGAATCGATCACAATGGTGTAGGTGTATACACTGTTTATCTTCCCTTAAACCTTAAGATTAAAATTGCGTCATATCTGTCTTTCTTCCTGTACTATATCCTTATAAACAACCTTTTTTTTAATATATTACCATCACTAAATTAACTACTTCTATGAATCTGGTGTTCATCTTGTTGCGCTAACGAGGTATGGCAACTTGGACCGATCCATATATATGTGCCTGGTCCTACGATGTAGTTGACTGACTGACTCACTGACACTGTTACTATCCCTAATACTCTAGTATTTCTATTGATAATCTTATCTCAATATGCTAATGTTGTGTAACAGCTAAGTTTGTTTAAAATAATCTATAAGATAAAGGTAAACATTTGAAAATCACTAACCCTTTATTATCCTTCAATTATCTATATTCAGATAATACTTACTTTTATCAGAAGGGGTTTTGTGGAGATTTAGTATTTTCATAGTTCACAGCGTGAGCTATTTGAAGCTAGACCAACAGGGAAAACCTGGAAGCACTGGACGGTCGTTTCGTCCTAATGTGAGACTCCTTAGCAGTGCACATCCACGACTGGATTGGTTGAAGTTAGACAATAACACCATCGGATGCCTGCTCGGTTAAGTGCTCTGGTGCGAGACTGGTAGGTTCTGGGTTCGAATCTCACGAGGCGAGGTCGTGGATGTGCACTGCTGAGCAATTCCACAATAGGACGAAACGACCGTCCAGTGCTTCCAGGTTTTCCCTGGTGGTCTAGCTTCAATTGACTCACGATTTCAACTATCAAAATAATAGTAATTTGTATTATGCAGCAGTATAGAGGGAATTTTCAGTCATATGAATTTAGATAAAAATAATAAAAGATAGAACAAAATATGTGGACTTTTAAGTAGTTTTCAGTTACTGAAAGCAGATTATTGTTTGTGCCTAAAAACTTAAAAGTTATTCCAACATTGGTCAACTATTGGTTCTAACCATAACCGCTACTTTTAGATAGTGACCAGACCTACAGATTCATAATGCTAACATTGAACTATAATGAGAGACTGCTTAGATTTTTGTTGTCGGGAGTGAAGTTTTATGGAACTGAAACATCAAAAGCTACTCACAAAACAGCCGTATGACATAGCCATAAATAGTTGTTCCATGAGCATTGAGGTCACGCTGTGAGATCAATTTCCTGTCTAAATACTTCAAGAAGTATTCTTCTAAAATATAAACAACCAGGAAGTGAGGATCATTCAAACACTTCTAAAATAACTTGAGATCAACTCATTAACAAGTTACAAATGAGCACAGTAGAGAAGATTTGTAATTGAGGTGGATAATTTTGATAGTTTTGTTCTCTGAGCTGGATGGTTTGGTCGTGGAGCTTTCATCATTCTTCCGAACGACTGATGATGTCATTCAGAAAAACAACTAAACCATCTAGCTCAGAGAACAAAACTCTATCAAAAACAGATGAGCACAGTTCCAAACTAAAATATATATAAATACAACTTAGTATTGTTTGTTTGAATCTTCCCATCGATTTGTTAGGACTGCAACTGGTCAGTCTCTAATTGGCATATGTGCATACTGTGCGTATTGCCTCGATATACCTTAATTCACAAGCATGGTTAGCAGAGATGGATAGTTGATGTTCACTCTGGGATTCAAACCCAGTACCCTCGCTTCAAACGCCATCGCGTTATCCACTCAGCCACTATCCATCTCTGCTAACCATGCTTGTGAATTAAGGTATATCGAGGCAATACGCACAGTATGCACATATGCCAATTAGAGACTGACCAGTTGCAGTCCTAACAAATCGATGGGAAGATTCAAACAAACAATACTAAGTTGTATTTAAACTTCACCCCATCGCACAAGCAAGTGGCTATCAGGACTCAGCGGCCGAGTGGATAACGCGATGGCGTATGAAGCGAGGGTATTGGGTTCGAATCCCAGAGTGAACATCAACTCTGAGATGCAGGTACATCTAGCTGACGAGTCCCAAATAGGACGAAACGCGCGTCCTGGATTCCACTGCTAGCCACTATCCATCTCTGCTAAAATATATATATATATGTAAACTTCAGCTTGCTTTATTCACTCTAAATAACAGGTTGGGATATGTTGTGAGTAGCTGATGAAAACAACAGAAATTATCGTTATTTAATGATAGACAGGGAACAAAAAAATATAAAGCTTACTTTATCAATAGTTGGTGTTGCATCATTATCAGAGAATAACAGTCCGAATCCTTTATGAAAATAAATAAATGATTTTATTTATTATTTATTTAAACATATAAATATTGGTACAAGAAAGCACCAGATATATATATGTGCCACACAAAGCTCATTCGATTTGTGTGAGGGCTGGAATACTGCCCGGGTGCTCAAACTGAGACTGGTGGTTTTCTTAGGAGGCCACACCCCGAGCCTTTGACCTAAAGGTCTGATCCACAAGGCATTGGAGCATCGTAAGGAGATGCAGTACCATGGTAGCTGGTGACCAAAGATTGATTCATACACCATTTGCTTGTTCAGGATCCTGGAGCCAGTCCATGTTCACCATTGGTTTGGAATCACGATTTTCCGACTCCACTAGGTGGACTTTCTGTATCCACCAACCCGGTTAAAGCGCCGAACATTCGCCTTCTCGATTTCGTAAACAACAGTAATGCCACGAGAAGGCAGTGAGTAGGACTTTTGTGGCAGAGGCTATATACGCGTGGCCATATGAGAGCATTTGGGGGCAAAATGTAACCTAATGAATTAATATACATTAGAATGTTGATGATAGACGAGAAATATTAATTGTTTACATATTTCTTTAAGCAACTGATTTCTTCTTTTACGATTTCAACCCTTAGTTGTTTAGTGAGGTAATGATTTGAGTATATGGAATTTGATTGCTGGTTTCTTCAAAAAGGGCTTCAAATTATAGGAAGGTCTTTAGTGAGTAAACAGTGTATCTAAAGCTACACAACTCATTCCATCAATAAATACACTAAAATCTTGTATTGTTGATGTATAATGTGTTTCTAAAATCCATGAACATACATGATACAAGCACGAGTATTCATAGAATTTCAAGTGACTAGTGTGTAAAATCACCACGCCTTACTGTCTGTCTACTTGGAGATTTAATAACGACTAACCTATGGGATTAATTTCGACTGAAGAACAAAATCTCCAGGATTGGATTTCAGTAGATAGATGTTGAAAGATATTCAACTGAACGAGGTTGTATGAAATAAGAAGAATAAGGATACTCCCCAAAGATGCCTGTTTTAGTTTTCAACTGAAATAAAAATTTATTCTATTGAAAAAGCCTTAGTTTCTTCTAAAACAATGCCTACTGAGTGTTGTTATATATTGCACAATTGTACAATGACGTAAAGCTGTGACACCACTTTTAACAAGTCAATGCCTCATTCAAATCCAGTGTAAACCAATTAAGATTTGAATAAATGCACGAGATGACTAGCAACTACATCATATAAATTTAACTTAAGTCCACAAACATGAACTTATTGACAATTATCATCCTATACATATTAAATAATACTATTCGCTAATAATCGTTAAGTTCTAAAAAAGTCATTTCAGTTACACCTAGTAAGGTAAATAGTATTCTTTTTATTACAAATTGTTTTAATTAGTCAAACGCCCCCAAATGACCTGATACGGCTGAGAGTGGGAAGAGTCCGCTATCTCTCTCTTTCTCTCTCGAAACGCTCTCATATGGCCAAGCGTAAACAGACTCTGACAGGGAAGTTCTACTGACTGCCTTCTCGTTAAGGGGGTGTTGTTTACGAAATTAAGAATACGAAAAGCGAATGTCCGGCGCTTTAACCGGGCCGGTGGACAAGGAGAGTCCACCTATGGGAGTTGGAAAACCCAGATTCCATACCAATGATGCACATGGGCTGACTCCAGTATTCTGAGGGAACAAATGAACCAATCGTTGGTAACAGGCTACATTGGGAGTCATCTCCTCACGATGCTCAACTGCCTTGTGGGTCAGATTTATAGGTCAAAAACTCCGGGTGTGGATTTCGTTAACTGTGGCGAAAGAAAAACAAACTGACAGTTGATGGATATGATAGAATTCAATGTGATTGGTCACTGAGTTTAGAAAGCAGATATTCAGGTTAAATATTATTCAATATATGGTTTTCTTACCTCTGTTATATCTAGAGCTTTAGATTCTTGCTATGCCGCGTACTACTAGACTACTTGAACGATCGAACCCGCAACGTCACAAGAGAGAAGACTAGTAAGTAGGAATTTTGTTCCCTAAACAGTGTCGAATATAGTACAAAAATCTCATGTATTTATAGTTTTTGGCTGAAAGCAAATCATCATTTCGGACAGCCAATAGGTACATAGGGGGGTCCTTCTTATCCATCCAGTAGAGAAGCTACACATCGACATTCTAGAATGTTTCCCTAGTTGTGATTGGATGGAATGTCTTCGGCTCTTTCTGGGCTACTTGAGCTTGCCAATTAGGCATCCTTACACCTCTTATTAACTTTTACTTCGGACTCACTGAGAGTGACTGTGTTTAACTTTGTGGAATATAATATTGCTTAGGGTTACTCTAGTTCTATAGTTTTGAACGCGAATCGGGTATGTGATATAATGTAGTACGATCTGTGGTATAGCATATAATTCAAGTACTCAACCTAGCAGTATTATAAACTCGATCACCTAGACTAATTTCATTATTGTATAGTCATTTTAGAGTAGTATACCAAAGAAGGAATATTCATAAGTAATTTGATAGAGCAAAGCCCTACCGTTGCTGCTACCTTGACGTGGTGGTCGGCCTATCGTGATGAACCAATCGAGCTATACTGGCTGGAACAATCGTTCCTCAAGGTCCTACCATGCCAGACAGGTCGGTTGAAGAGCGGTAAGACTAAAAGCAGCAATCCCAAGGTCCGAAGGCGAAGTCGTACTGCCGACTGTACAGAGGTGTGACGGCAGTAAGGTGTTTCCTTCAGACAGCCAGCATGACAGCGATGCCGTTTTCCCACAAGGTGCGGTGGGGTCAGAAATGGTCGACCCTAAAAATGCACACCTCGCCTTACCCCACGGATTTCCGTCTCCGGCGGTAAGGTCCTTTGAAGAACGGAGCTAACTCGTCAAATGATAGGGAGTGAAGTAGTTGAGCGTGTTGACAGCTTCACTTATCTTGGGAGTCTCATCAGCCCTTGTGGTCTGGTGTGTGTGAAGAAATCTCAGCACGGATACAGAAGGCTCGTCTAGCTTTCGCCAACTTGCGCCATTTATGGCGTAGGCGAGATATCCGTCTAGCAACCAAAGGGCGGGTTTACTGTGCATCAGTTCGCTCCGTCCTACTTTATGGCAGTGAAACATGGCCGATAAGAGTAGAGTATATTCGTAGGCTGCTAGTATTCGATCACAGATTTCTTCGAAGCATTGCTCGTATATCCTGGGACCACCAATTAAGTAATGCAGTTGTTAGAAGACGGGTACTAGGTAAGGATGGCAAATCGATTGATGAAGTAGTGAAACTCCATCAGTTGAGACGGCTGGGACACGTGTTACGTATGCCCAACCACCGACTGCCCCGACGTGCAATGTTTTATGGTGTAGGAGCAGGTTGGAAGAAAGCTAGGGGCGGCCAGACCAAAACATGACACAAATCCATGAAGTCGCTGACAAGTGGACTGGGCCGTGTTGGTAGGTGTAGACTACCTGGTTGGGATTCGCGAGATGATAACAACCGATGGTTAGAAACCTTGAATGACATGGCTCAAAATCGTTTGCGGTGGCGAAGGTGCATACACTCTTTGTGTTCTACCAAATTCTAATATTCTGAATTCTTCATATCCGTATCCTTTTTCTCTTTCAAAATTTATTTCACCGTATTATACTCCTTCAATAACATCTTCAAACCCTTATCTTTCACATAATACTTATACTCTTACTACTTCTACCAATATGGGATTTGAATAGACAACTTCATTTCTGTGCTAATGTGGTATGGCAACTCGAACTGATGTACGTACGTACGAAGTTCTACGTTGTAACTGACTGACTGACTGGTAGAGCAAAGAATTTAAATCAATCCAATTCTTACCTCCCCAACTGCCTAGTTTACGATGAGTTGGTTTTTTTCGAGGTCGTTGAACTGAATTCACCACAGGGTTGTAATTACTTGATGGTATTGAAATATCTTCTTGAGAATAGGTTTGTTTAACACGAGGTGGTGGAGGTATCATTGGTGGTCCAAGTAAATTGCATAATGTTGGATTGGATTTAATTTGTTTATCTAGTTGACTTACTGTTGAATTAGATGTCATGTGTTCTGCATTACCTTTATTAGGATGCCTTACTCTTGTTGTTTTGTTATTCATAGTTGGTGTTTTACAGGATAATAATGGTGATGATGATGTGGTAGTTTTAATGGAAGACAACGTCGTTGTTGTTGTTATTGTATCACAGTTGGAAGTAACGCTTGTTGTACAATTATAAATTGGTATAGGTTTCAATATATTATCATTACTACTGTTAATACTACTTAAAAATGAATAATTCGGTGGAACAGTATAAGATGAATTTTGACGTGATAGATCTGGTGGAGATGATGTAGGTGGAGGTTCTAATTGAATAGATAATTTATAATTTGCATCTTCAATAAATCGTTGAAGTTCTTCTATGTAACGTTGTGCTTCTAAATAACTGGCTATAGATTCATTTCGAACAAACGCTGATGAAATATGATATAAAAAAGGAAATGGAAACAGTAATAAAAGAATAATTTAATGTGGAACTGACATAAAATTAACCAATATCTTCTTAAACATGGTTAAATACTCTCAAATGCCCTGATACGTCTGAGAGTCGGGAGAGTCCACTCTTCCTCTCAAAATGCTCTCACATGACCACGGATATATAACCTCTGCCACGGAAGTCCTATTCACTACCTTCTCGTGGCATTACTGTTGTTTACGAAATTGAGAGGACGAAAAGCGAATGTCTGGCGCTGTAACCGGGTTGATGGACACAGAAAATCCATCTAGGGGAGTTGGAAAACCCTCATCCCAAACCAATGGCACACATGGACTGGCTTCAGGATCCTGAACAAGCAAATGGTGTATGAATCAATCGTTGGTCACCGGTTATCATGGGACAGCATCACCTTACGATGCTTCACTGCCTTGTGGATCAGACCTTTAGGTCAAAGGGCTATACTATAGAGCGTATTATTCGCAAAATATTTCAGAATAACTTGATGGAGAAATACTTGACATTAGTAAAAGGATAACATTCAAAAAGGATTATTAGGAATTTATTGAACACTCTCGTAATAAATTATAACTAGTGAAGTTCACAGAGACAAGTCATAAATTGTGTATTGATGGAAATCGGATGACTTCATATGCTAACAACTATTGAATTGTATTTCAACACACTAGTATAAAGTTAAATATTTTTTATTATGAAACCTGAAAATCACTAGTTCGAACCCTAACCAAGTAATTATAGACGAGTACCACTCAGAGGTCAAATACTAGGATGAAACAGTTGGTACAAGATCTTACAAGTGATGTCGATCCTGGAAAAAACTTGTTTAAGAATTATGTAAAACTATGTATCCGCTAGTCAAAATAATGACAAGGGCCATAATAAGAGAGTATGAACCTACCAACATGACTCAGACCAAGTCAGTGACTTGGTGAAATGATACAATGTATTGGTTTGTGTCATATATAGGACTTGAATATTTGCTATACCGCGTACAACTCAAGCACTCGAATGCTTGAACCCTCCAAGTAGCAAGTCAGAAGACAAATTTAAAGAAAACTTATTTCAACCAGCGTCATATATGGTATAAAACACTCAGATATTTATAGTTTCGGTAAAAGCAAAGTCATCATTACAATCATCTAATCAACATGAAGTGGTTTTTACCATTTATCGAATCGAGATCCTGTAATTTTCTTCCAAATGACAAATGGATTGAATGTCTTAATCTCTTTCACAGCTTCTTTAGAGCTTTCTTGAGGTCACCGGGAGCCGTCCTCACAGTTTGAGAGCTGATTTTCCTCAGTCCATTTCTATGCCAGACAACACTACGCAGTAAGGTAAGCGATGACGGAGCATACTTAGTACGTATCCTATCCATCTCAGTCGGTGAATAATTCACAGCCTCATCAATTGATTTAACATGTGACATTGTGTAGAAAACTATTTATAATCAAAGACCTGCTTCACCATGGGTTGCAGATCATTAGGAGTAGTGAACACTTGTAACCCTTGAAACAGAATTAAGGCTGGATGAGTATCGTAACGAGATGATTGACTTTATAGATTACAGTTTCTCACTAGCCAGTACACGATGATTATTATTTGATTTGATGTTTTTTGGAAAACTAGTGCAACATTTGAAGAGCTACTTTCTTCTTACATCGAAGTTATCACGATCATCATTAACAGGTTTTACAACTGAATGAAATGATTTACATCTTTTTCTTTAAGCTAATCATGGAGATTAAAATGTTAAAAGTCTATGATTAATCCTAGGGTGAAAGTCATCCGTAGCTAAGGAAAATGCAGAATATAGTTTAGTGTTTATAGACTTTCAAGAGGATTCTAGAACATAATGGGTTATATTCACCTTATCTTGATAATACGGAATTTCTTAGTGAACAAACAAATACATGATCTAGTAACTTCATAGACTATGTATGATAGAAGTTTGGAAGATAAAGTTTGTGCCCAAACCAATAAATAATACGAATTTTTCAAGATTACCGTCGTTAATCTGACACACGTCGAAAAGAAAGTGGAAGTTTTAGCTCAGAGTCTGGGACATAATCATAATCTTTAACTGGGAAACTTAACAGGATCCGCATTCAAAGATGTGACACAGATTCTGTTCGGGATGTCAAATCCCCAGAACTTACTTGGTAAATGGCTTAATTTTGTAATTTTACTTTTAAAATTTGAAGGCGCTCTTTTCACCTTCAAGTCGTATTTCCCACTAGTAAAAAATCTTAAATGCTATTTGTCCGTTGTATCTTTGAGTGTACTATTTTGTAATGCTGCCCAAGGACAAATTATCGCTGTATATATACGTTTGAGTTTTTTCCCTTATGACTTGCTTCTACTCGGCTGCTTACGGAATATATATTCCCCCTATTTCGCCTTGGACTTCTTCCTATAATTATCGGGGCCTGGGAAAACGAATTAGATTAGCCTATCGTGTCACTGTTTACCCAGAAAATCGACTTAGTTCAAACATATCAAATTGTTTAATTATTGAGTAATTAGATTGTGTATATCTATATTCCCCTTATTATAAGCTTCATTTTGACCTATGAATTATTATTATACGATTTACTGTTCCTAAATTATATTCAGTTTATTGATTATTGTCTCACACGTTCACAGCCACATTTGACTTGATCCTGTAGAAATATTATTTTCTATTTAATGGTCTGTCTTTCTTGTGTATAAACCAAGTATGCTTGAAATAAATGATTCGTATAGCATAAGCTGTAATTGGTGTTCTGGATTCCATTGGAAAGGCTAGGAGGACAAAGGATCAATAAGGACGTTAGACTGTTCATACCGGTCAAACATCATTGATTTGGCATAATGATGAGATTAAATTAGTCGTATATCTATTGGTGGATGAATCACGTGATAAAAAGGCGGATATAAAATCACAACAAATTGGAGACAGCCTATTTTTTAAATTCATAACAGTATCAATATTACTATTCATATCATCAGAAGGGTTTTTTGTGGAGATTTAGTATTTTCATAGTTGAAAGCGTGAGTCAATTGAAGCTAGACCACCTGGAAGCACGGTCGTTTCGTCCTATTGTGAGACTCCTCAGCTATGCGCATCCACGACTGGATTTGTTGAAGTTCGACATTAAAACCAACGGATACCTGCTCAGTTAAATGCTCTGGGTTCGAATCTCACGAGGCGAAGTCGTGGATGCGCATTGCTGAGCAATTTCACAATAGAACGAAACGGCAATCCAGTGCTTCCAAGTTTTCCCTGGTAGTCTAGCTTTAATTGACTAATGATTTCAATTATGAAAATTACTATTCATATTAAAATTATATAAATTCACTTACGATAATTGGATTGTTGAAAATTTGCAATAATTCGTAATATATTATTAATTCGATCTTGTTTACCTTGATTAGTCCATGTACTATTTTCACGACGATTATTTAATGATGATGCAGCCACATCAATAAAAGTTAAATCAGAAAGATAAATACCTTTAAAGATAGAGTAGAAATAAACATTAAAATGTATAAACTAGTGAATTACTAATATAATATTGAATTAGTCCAATTAATAATAACAGTTATCAAAACCCAATTCGATAGTTATTATAATCAGTAAAGCAATGGACTCATAGTTAAGGAGTTCAACTTGTAGTGCCATGCTTCGTTAATCGTTCACCTCGATTAACCGTTATAATTCCAAATCTTAACGGTGCATAAAAATCAGAAGGCTAAAAGAGAAGCGGCAACTACAGTTTTATTGACAAATGATACAAGCCAGAAAGTTATAAGCATATGAGTAAATATCAGCGAGCGAAACATAAATAAAACGTATTGGAGATGGCGGGTAAGTCAATTCGCTTTAATCAAGCGTTATTTAATATTTATAGTCAGACAAGAATAAGTTACAGACATTTGATGAATAGGATAAGAAAGTGTAACAAGGTCAAAATATAACATTTGATAGATAGGTAAATTGGCTTGGTCAGAAGCTAGAATAAAGTATATGAGCTTAACATATCAACCGATACTACAAACGTTTAACCATTAAGCATAGGCTTTGAACTCAACTCTAACTCAGATGCTTCGGTATAGACATTCGAGTAGTATCATTAGTTCATATATTCAAAATGTAGCTCATACTTAAGTATTTGATGAATGAGTTAACCTAATCGAATAGTTTATGTTATTATCAGAAAATAGAACGCCAATCGTCAGAAAAACAGAAACGAACATTTATCCAAAATATCTTTTAATGAACAGTAATGAGATTCCATTTATGTATGAATCATACCGGTAGAGAGAAAAGAAAAAAAATGTACTGTAAAACAATTTTTAACCTATCCTTGTTAGACGGATGTTCCCTGTTCATTCTCCATGATTGCGAAATCATATAAATCCGGTATTATTATGTAATGATTAGTTTCTGATCAATTTACAACGATAATTATTTGACATTTAAACCGTTAAATTTTAAACCATAAAAATCTTGAAATACATCGAAAGAAGCATTATATCTCTTAAGCTTGTTAAGGTTCTCTGTCCTTATTCCCTCCTCGTCAACTCTTTTTTGTGTACTGTTTTATACTACTTAATAATATTCAGTAAGTAGTTGTGTCCTGAGAAATTTTTACGTGAATGTCGTTTAGTATTCTAAAATATTTACATATACTTATAATATTTATTGTATTTAATTCAACCCACGTAGTAGTTATTCTCAGTTTTGTACGGTCATTTATTATTTGTTTAAACACAACGGTCCCCATATGTGTCTGCTATTGGTTAATTTTATTGCTTGTTGATAAACTGTTATAAATATTAGATATAGTCAGAAGGGGTTTTGTGGAGATTTCAGTATTTTAATGGTTAAAATCATGAGTCAATAGAAGCTAGACCACTAAGGAAAACCTGGAAGCACTGAATGACCGTTTCGTCCTATTGTGGGACTCCTAAATATGAGAAAATTTATGTTCATAGAATAAGTTTTCATAGTTTAACAGTGATTAGTTGTACACTTTGAATAAAAAACAATAAACGACTAAGAAGCAAAGATGGATAGTGGCTAGCAGTGGAATCCAGTTTGACGCACGTTTCATCCTATTTGGGACTAGTCAGTTGGATATACCTGCATCTCAGACTTGTTGATGTTCACTCTGGGATTCGAACCCAGTACCCTTCGCTTCGAACGCCATCGCATTATCCACTTAGATACTGAGTCCTGATAGCAGCTAAGAAGTATCACTGATTTTATTCACCACCACCACCACCACCAACAACAACAACAACAACAAAAAATCAATTCAATCATTTTATTTGTAAACAGAAATATGAAAGTATCCTTATACAAAAACAAAACAAAGAAGGTGATTGTCACAATTTATCTGACTATCCTATTTATAAGAAATGAGAAACAAAAAAAAAACAACAACCACATTTAAACCATTGAAATGAATAAGTTTGTACACACTAATTTACACACACACATACACCCATACAAACACATACAAATGCATGAAAGAGAACGGGTTGATACCCATTAGGTAGCTAATAAATACTCGACAGTACTAACAATCTACATTAATGAATAGAGAGCTATGAATTACTTTAATTTAAGTAGTCAACTTATATGTCATGGCAACAATAAAGAATTAGACTGTCAATAATAAATATTATATCGGATCAAATGAAAAATATACAGGGCGAGGGGGAGAAAGAGACGCATTTTTTATGATACATATATATACATGATAGAAAATGAATAGTGAACATTGTCTAAGAAAATAAAATAAACAAAATCAGCTGATCATTTGTTATTGTTTACCATAAACCACACACACACACAGACACCTAAAACACACATAGTAATCGTCAAAACAATAACCACAACAACAACACGTATGAACGATTGTCATATAACAATTTCTAGATGATCAGTCCACACAAGCGCATACACAAAGCTACATCGATCTAGCAGGACCACACCACAGAGAACCAGATTGATCACATCTGTATCAACAAAAAATTCCGAAGATCAATGGAAGATGTGAGAACCCGGAGAGGAGCTGACATAGCTTCAGATCACCACCTGGTTGTGGCCAAGATGAGACTGAAGCTAAAGAAAGACTGGATAACTGGACAAACAGCACTACAAAGGTTTAATACAGCCTTCCTTCGAGATACTGACAAACTCCATGAATTCAAGATAACTCTCAACAACAGGTTCCAAGCTCTACAGGATCTACTGAAAGAACAAGAAACTACTTTGGAGGACAACTGGAAAGGGATAAAAGAAGCACTAACTTCAACGTATCAGGAGGTTCTTGGTCCTAAGAAACACCATCACAAGGAATGGATCTCTATGGGAACACTGGACAAAAAAGGAAGAACAAGAAATTAGCAATTAACAACAGTCAAATACTAGCAGAGAAAGTCAAGGCACAAGCAGAGTACACAGAAGCAAACAAGGAAGTGAAGAAGAGCATTAAAGCTGACAAGCAGAAATACATGGGAGAACTAGCAATGATTGCGGAAAAAGCTGCAAGAGAAGGGAATATGAAACGACTATATGATACAACGAAGAAACTGGCAGGGAGATATAACAAACCGGAGAGACCAATCAAGGACAAAGAAGGAAAGACAATCACGGAGATTCAAGAACAGAGGAAAAGATGGGCATAATACTTCGAGGAACTGCTGAATAGGCCAGCTCCATTGAATCCACCGGACACACAGACCTTACTATAGATGTCAATTCACTAACAACCGAAAAAATCAAGATGGCCATCGGACAAATTAAGAATGGGAAAGCAGCACAATCTGACAATATACCAGCTGAAGCTCTGAAGTCAGAAATCGAAGTACCTGCAAACATGCTTCACCTTCTATTCAAGTAGATTTGGGAGAAAGAACAAGTGCGACGGACTGGAAATAAGGATACTTCATGAGGATACCGAAGAATGGAGATCTGATCAAATGTGAAAACTACGGAGGCATCACACTGTTGTCAGTACCAGGAAAAGTTTTCAACAGAGGTGCCCAAACCAAAGCAGGTGGTTTTCTCACACGGCCACACCCGGAGCCTTCGACCTAAAGATCTGATCCACAAGGCAGTGGAGCATCGTAAGGAGATGCAGTCACATGGTAGCCAGTAACCAATAACTGATTCATACGCCATTTGTTCCCTCAGGATACTGGAGCCAGCCCATGTACACCATTGGTTTGGAATGAGGGTTTTCCAACTCCACTAGGTGGACTCGCCGTATCCACCAACCCGGTTAAAGCACCGGACATTCGCTTTTCTTTCTCTCAATTTCGTAAACAACAGTAATGCCACGAGAAGGCAGTGAATAGGACTTCCGTGGCAGAGGCTATATACGCGTGGCCATGTGAGAGCATTTCGGCCGTACCAAAGCATTTGGGGGCATGATAATTACAGGCTCCTATCGCTGGCAATTATCAGACTTTTACATAATTATAATGATTATTTCTAACAGGGGAATTATAAAGTTGAATAAATAAATTCTGTATTATGTAAAGTATTCAAATAGACGACTATGAACAACTGAAGACAGTAATCACAACCATAATTATCAGTATATACAATTTACGTTCTAAGCATTAATGGATAAGTTGTAGTAGTATACGTGATGGAATGTGTATACATACGAACGGAACATAATATATAGGTCATTGTTATAGTTACATATACATAAGTCTAAATGGATTTAAAAACAAAAAAAATCAAATTACGTAATTGTAAAACTACTGAGAAAATGTAACAGTTTTCATATAGGCGAGAAAAATGTTTTTAATAAACACCACTCCCACTGATTGTGAAATGAAGGTTGGTTATTGTTATATCTAGTGGGTTGTGTTCCAATCAATATATGATGTGACGATGCCGCCAATTAGAGCACAGTGAATTATCGATCGAACCAATGACACATAAAACCCGTACGAGCAGTCTAGAGTCTCCATCAGTCCTAGCTTCCCGCCTAACCCTGCCTGTCAAGTCCAGAATATCAATAACAACCTTTGTGATATGAATCGTATATTTCCGACATATTGGGTTTATATACAAACACCAAAACAGACTACATTGTACCATAAAATAGAAAATAATATTTGTACAAGATCAAGCCACAATGTGATTGTGAATGTGGGAGACAGTAATTAATAGACTGGACATAACTCAAGAACAGTAAATCGTATAGTAATAGTCTATTGGCCCATAATAGTTATAAACTAATTGGATTCTAGCGAGTGAGGTAGAAAGTTTGAGCATCGTAACACAATGTACTGCAGATTTGAGAAGCCGGTTTGAATCATACATATACAAGATAGATAAAAATTAAGTGAATAACATCTTCAAACCCTAATCTTTCCGATTACTGCTTACAGTCTTACTACTTCTAGCACTATGGGATTTGAATCGACAACTGTATCTCTGTGCTAATGTGGTATGGCAACTTGAACTGATGTATGCAGGTACGTACGAAGTTCTACGTTGTGATTGACTGACTGAAATAAAACTATATTTGGTAAATAAAGAAGAATCCTATTGATATTTAGATTATTGTTCACAGAAATAACACATATGAAACAAGGAAGGAATCCATTATTGTATTACGCAAACTTGTGACATGACATAGCTTAACTACTACTGAAAACAGTGCAACAGGTTATCATTTACAGCTAGAGTAAATCAGTAGTAAAAACTCTAGTTACTGAAAACGAATGACTTCAATGGGAAGCATAAAACGAGGATTAAGGCCATTAAAATTTTGGATATATATCTATTTTGTTGATCAGTGATAATTAATATAATATCCAGCTTCCTGACTTCGACAACCTAACAATTAGAATAAGTTGCATCATGTGACATCTTTTGAGGAAATCACCCAACTGCATCACAAGACAAGCCCTCACATGGAATCCTGAAGGTCAAAGGAGAAGTGGAAGACCAAAGAACACATTACAATGAGAAAGGGAAACAGACATGAAAAAAATGAACAAAAATTGGATAGAACTAGAAAGGAAGGCCTAGGACAGAGTGGGTTGGAGAATGCTGATCGACGGCCTGTGCTCCATTGAGAGTAACAATCGTAAGTAAGTAAGTAAGTAAATGTAACATCTTGATACATTGTTAATTTCAGCCCACAGAAAAATACATTATGGATATTCATTTCCTCAATTACAAATAATTACATCTATATTTTCATGTAAAATAAACACTGAATGATTTTGCTAGGAAGTGAAAAGCAACAATAATAAATATAATTCCATCACAGACTTCTGTTATGGTATCAAAGAACAATCTATAAAAGTAGTTCTGAATTCAGATCCCCAATAAGAATTTTGAGATGTAGACTAATAAAGAATATATATTTTAAAAGTTGAGATCATGAATCAATTGAATCTAGACCGCTATGGAAAATCTGGAAGCACTAGACGGCCGTTTCGTCCCATTGTGAGACTCCTCATCAGTGCGCATTTACGACCCCGCCCCATTAGATTCGAACACATGACCCGTCAGTGTTGCACACGAGCGCATAACCTCTAGACCACTGAGTTGACATCCGACAGTGTTAATGACTAACTTTAACCGATCCACGAAATTGAGCGAATAAAGCATATTCAATAGTTTTAATTGTACACACTAATTAGTCTATTTTAATAGTGTAATAAGAAGACAAAGATTATCAAAACGATGTGATGATAGATTAGCATAATACATTTCGAACAATCTGATAACATACATATACTTATTATTAAAATATAAATAAAAGGTCAACTACACTAGAAATGGAGGGTAAGAAGAAACAAATAAAGAGAATAATGTGAAAACATATCACTCTGGATAATACGCTAATAATACCAGGGTAGGTTTACGAATGAGAACAAACAGCATTTTGAACAAGTGCATATATGATCATATATATATATATATCACATAGTTCTAATAATACAATGGACAGCTCGGAATCAATTAGACGAGATGGACGTCGCAGATGACCTGGCCACTCTATCTCATACACACCAACAAATACAGATGAAGACAACTAGTGTTGCAACAGCCTCTACATCAATAGGCTTCAACATACAAAAAGGAAAAAGCAAGATCCTCAAATACAACACGGAGAACACATACTCAATCACACTTGATGAAGAAACTCTAGAAGATGTGGAAACATTCATGTACTTGGGGAGCATAATCGATGAACAAGGAGCATCTGATGAAGACGTAATGACAAGAATTGGCAAAGTAAGGTTAGCATTCCTACAACTGCAGAACATATGGAACTCAATACGAACGTCAAGACAATCCTGCTGTACAGAGATAAAACTAGGAGAACTACAACAACTATCGTCAAAATAGTAGAAGTATTTATAAATAGTTGTCTGTACAAGAAACTCAATATCCGTTGACCAGATACCATCAACAATAGCCGTCTGTGGGAGAGGACAAACTAGCCTCTAAATGAAAAGAAAATTAAGAAAAGTCGTAGGAAGTGGATAAGAAACACATTACGGAAATCACCGGATTGCATCACGAGACGAGATCTAACTTGGAATTCGGAAGGGAAATTGAAGCGGATATGAAAACGATGGATAGCAACCAGAAACAACTGGAAAAGATTGCTTAGGACAGAGTTCCATGGAGGGCGGCCTATGCTCCTCTGCTAGGGGTAACAGGCGTAAGTAAGTAAGTAAGTTCCAATAATCTTCATCTTCTTATGAAACTATTCTAATTTATCAAAAAGGACTAATTATTATCTATTATAAACATTTAATGACTTACCTAAATATGGTATACATGGTAGACGTGAATGATCTACAGCTGTACGAAGATTAATAAAATTTTCTTCTTGTGAAAATAAATCAGCCAATTTACGAAATGTATGACGATCACGTGAAGTTAAATGAGACCATGTAGCATTTAGACGATGAATACATTGCATATTTAATGCAGATATAATAGCCATTCCTGATGAGAAATTATTGAAATCAACTAGTTTCTATATAAAGTAATGCATGTGTGTGTGTATGTTTAAGTAAGAGAGAGAGAAATAAATGGCTAATATAATTTTAGTTATGACAATAATAACAAGAATAATTATAAAATAGAATTCTGAATTAGACTGAAATGGTTCTGTGAAGATTGATGTTTTAGTGACAGATTGGGAAGTCCTAATCACTGCCTTCTCATGGCGGGGGTGTTATTCACGAAAGTGAGAGGATGAAAAGCGAATGTCCGTTGCCTTAACCCGGTCGGTAGACACGGAAAGTCCACCTAGGGGAGTTGGAAAACCCTCATTCCAAATAAATGGTGCACATAGACCGACTCCAGGATCCTGAGGGAACAAAATGGAGTATGAATCAATCGTTGATCACCGGCTACCGTGGGACTGCATCTCCTCATGATGCTCCACTGTTTTGTGAGTTAGATCTTTAGGTCAAAGGCTCGGGGTGTGGCCCCCTAAGAAAACCACCTGCTTTGGTCTGGGCACCCGGGCAGTATCACAGCCCTCACATAAGTGTGGTGCATATATATCTAGTGCCCCTTTGTACCAATATGTATGTGTTTAAATAAATAAATAATTAAGACAGACTGATCATAGTTAGGGTATACTGGAAGACTCGTTAGCAATGGGTACTCACAGTCACATCACAGATCGAACAGAGAACCTTCATATCTGAAGGTGAATGCTTGACTAATGATATAATTCCAACTTTATTCAATTTAAACTACAATGAGATGAATATCCACTATCGTTGACAGCAGTCAGACAGTGATACGCAACCTAGAAACTGGCAAATGTGCATTGATTGAAGTTGCTATACTACGTCAGTACAGAATCAGTATTGGAGGAAAAGATACGAACCGAAAATACGGACCTGTTAAATTGAAATAATTTTTAGGATAATTAAAAAAAACAGGATTTTAAGGCAAAACAAAGAGTGAATGCATCTGGATCACTGTAAACGATTGTGAGCCATGTCAACTACTAGTCACGATGATTGCACGAACCTCAACCAGATAATTTACGCCTATACACATGGGTAAGATCAATAGTCAGTAACTTTATGAATTAATGCCATGACTTGATTTGGACGTCTTTAACTTTCTTCCAGTCTACTCCTACACTAGACAATATCGCCCGTCCCAGCAAGCGGTGGTTAGATTTACGTTACCCATATCCTATACACTTCAGATGATAAGGATTTTTAACATTAGCAACTGATTTGTTATCCCTACCTAATACAAATGAATCCACTCCCAGTATTGCTGATTTGGTGGTGATAATATACACGAGCAATTCTTCGAAAAAACATTCATAATGGAATACTAGTAACCTCTGGATACCATCTCTTTTAAAACACTACATTTTACATCCATAGAGTAAAATGGAGTAGATCTTTGTAACCTGTACCTTGGTTGGTAGACGGACATCTCAATTGGACCAAGAGTGACGTATGTTGAGAAATACCTACTAAGCATTTTGAATTGGTGCTGAGGTTTAGCCAGACATTAACTTACAGACTGATGCAACTTCCAAGATGAGTGAAGTGGTCAAAGCAATTCACTACTCCAGGAGTTGACGTATACCGGTTATGAAGAAATATTTTCCATTTAGAGAAGTATAAACGCATTCTGAACATGCTTGTATGGTTGCTCATGGTGACCAGAGGACTATATTTTTATCAAACAAGACTTTTATTGGTGATGACAGCATAAATTAAGATTACATTGTTAACTAAAGTACTCACCATACCCAAAATCATTTGATTTTTCTATTTTGTTTTCTATTATGTTGAATTAGACAAATAGAACACTGAAACTTGTTTTGAATAGTACTTCAGCCTAGATTAATACACATCATGAGCGTATATATGTAAACTCTTCCAGATGTGGAACTCAGGATTGTTAAGCTTCATTATCAAGAGCGCGTTACCTTTAAATTGCCAATCGAGGATTTAAAAGGTCACATTTCTAACTTCAGTCTATTTCATAACACTAGACGATCACTTTTCAGTGTCATCTATCTCACTTATAACAAAGTGGCCGGGCCCTGATGAGGTCACCGGCTTCTTTAGGAAACTTTAGGCATTCTCTTCGTGATAAGTCACGAATGAAAGAATGTTTATAGGGACTATTCAATTTTGGTAGATAGTTTTACAATATAATGAATTAACTAAAGAATGCAAACCGTTGGATGATAATATATACAATTGATTGATCAATACGTAGTGATCAATGTCATGTTCGTCTAATCTTTTTAAAGATGACTGAATGCAATCGATTGAATTGCAACGTGACCACTGTGTTGAGTTACTTAACATCAAATGTATTACTTCGAATTGCCATCAGAAAACCCTGGATCTAGGTTTTATGCAAGTTGGAAGTCTTGAGGTATACTTCACTTATGCATGCTAAAACTTTAATCAAGATGGTGACTTATCATTCAAATGTAAGGTTGAAAAGTGCACATTCAAGGGAAAAAACTAATGTAAATCATCATCCTGCCTGTTGTCTTATCTATATGAACTAAACAAATATCAAAACAACACTTTCAAATTATATAGATGACTTTCATTTATTTACTAAGCAAACGTAAGCATGTTTATTATACTGCTATTCTATCCGGTTATTGTCATGAAATATTAAGACACTGGCCCCCGAATGCCCTCGTACGGCTGAGAGTGGGGAAAGTCCGCTCTCCCTTTCCGAATGCTCTCACATGGCCACGCGTATATAGCATTCGCCATGGAAGTCCTACTCACTGCCTTCTCGTGGCATTACTATTTATTTATTTATTTAATCACACATATATTGGTACAAAGAGCACGGGATACATATGCGCCACTGTTGTTTACGAAATTGAGAGGACGAAAAGCGAATATCCGGAGCTTTAAACGGGTTGGTGAACACGGAAAGTCCACCTAGGGGAGCTGGAAAACCCTGATTCCAAAACCAATAGTGTACATAGACTCCGTTACCCTGAGGGAAGAAATGGTGTATGAACCACTCGTTGGTCACTGGCTACCATGGGACTGCATCTCCTCACGATGCTGCACTGCCTTATGGATCAGACCTTGAGGTCGAAGGCTCGAGGTGTGGCCTCCTAAGAAAACCACCTGTTTTGGTTTGGGCACCCGGGCAGTATCGCAGCCCTCGTCACACGAATCGAACGAGATTTGTGTGGTGCATATATATCTGGTGCTTCCTTGTACCGATATTTGTGTTTAAATAAATAAATAAAACACACTGTATCGATATCATTTGTTGTGAACAACCTTCTGTGAAAGCACCATACTAATGAATAACGAATAGTCTTTGTGTTCCTTTTTTGTTTGAATGCAATGATTAATGTATCGATGCAATGGGATTACACCCAAGATTTCCTAATGAAATTGCATTAGGCAATCAAAAGTTGGGACTTCTATTTTCAGGTTTTAACATGATTAACTATTTGTTAGCAGTACCAGTTATGAGCAATTCATTGATGTCAATCCATAAAACTATGTTTCACAAGTGTATATCAAATTTGCTTTCATCGATAGGCCATACACTAGGTTCTTTACTACTGTGGTGATATTAAAATTGATCCCTGATTGGTACATTTGAACTAGGGATAGCTATAATGTACATTGATTTTATCTGCACTGCCGCTAGCATTACTGATACATCTAGGAATATACGAGAGCTTCGCAACTATTACTGACGGTTCGTCAGGAATGAAAATATATCTTCCTACGGATATTGTAGGAATACTTTACACTATGTTGAGCCAAAAAATTTAGAACACTTGTGATTGTACTTTCAGTAATGTTTTTGTTATCATTCAGTAAAAACAGTTCTTATGAGGGTCAAATGTGGAATAGTTATTTTCCGGGCAAATGATTTAAGACTACAGCAAATTTCTATCACAAATATTTTGAGAATAATTTCGATAACAAAGTTAGTTACGGATGAATGATGGAATTGAATAGTACTGCTGTCATATTCAGTTGTAGTGGGATTATGTACAAAGACATTACTAACCGTTCAGGTAAACGAGGAATGGCGAATTAGTGATTACTGAACTAAGATTGTAATTATTCGTAATACTGACAGCTTGTACTACTCCCAAACTAACCATAAATCTGACTACTAATTTTATAGATATATAAGTAATAACATAGACCCCAATGCAATAGATAAATTATCAAACAAGGGAAAAAATAGAATTTAAAAAAAGAGTAAAACAATAGTAAGTACATACACATATACACTAACTTTTGCTATTCGTATAAAATGTGATAATATTTCTGTGCGTTTCGATAAACTTTTCTCATTTAATATATATTTTTGAACCCAGAATATAATCTAAAAAAAAGAGATACATTTTAAACAAAAAAAAGTTAATCAGAAGGGGTTCTGTGAAGATTTTAGTAATTTTATAGTTGGATTCATGAGTCGATTGAAGTTAGACCACCATGGGAAACCTAGAACCACTGGATGGCCGTTTCGTCTTATGATGGGAATCCTCAGCAGTGCGTGTACACAATCCCGCACTCGCGAGCGAGATTCGAACCCAAGACTTACCAGTCTCGCGCCAGAGCACTTAACCGATAGACCACTAAGCTGGCTGGCATCCAACGGTGTTAATGTCTAACTTCGACCAATCCAAGAAGTTTGAGCAATCGTTCACTAATTGTCTTCAGTAAGTCGTTATCTCACAACAGACGTGGTTGAACTCCACTGGTCACCGCTTCTCACTAGAACTCCAGGACATATATCTTGAAGTCAGTTAGTAATGAGCATATGATTATAATCAGAAGGGGTTTTGTGGAGATTTCAGTAGTTTTCATAGTTGAAGTCATGAGTCAATTGAAGCTAGACATTGAAGTTAGACGTTAGCACCGTTGGATGCCGACTGGCTCAGTGGTCTATCGGTTAAGTGCTCTGGCGCGAGACTGGTAGGTCCTGGGTTCGAATCTCGCTCACGAGTGCGGGATCGTGGATGTGCACTGCTGAGCAGTCCCATAATAGGACGAAACGGCCGTCCAGTGGTTCTAGGTTTTCCATTGTGGTCTAGCTTCAATTGAATCAAGATTTCAACTATAAAAAATACTGAAATCTCCACAAAACCCCTTCAGATTAAATCTCTAGTAGTCAATCATAGTGATGGATAAAGGAAAAGATACATTTTCATATAAAGTTTCGATTATTAGTTGTATTATAGAGGTCAAGGGAAATTATACGGTTTAATCATATATTATTGGATGAACAAAGAAAAGTTATATTGATGGTTATTATTGATTTAGCATATATTGCTTAGAAACGTTTTATTGGAAGGTCGTAAATAATTTCTAAGCAAATTCTTTAAAAGTTAGTCAGCTACAACGTAGAACCAGGCACACATATGCATCATTCCAAGTTGCCATAACCTTATTAGCACAACAAAGTCAACACCGAATTCATAGAAATAATTAATTTAATGGTGGTAAAATATAAAAGAAATATTGTATTTGAGAATATAGTATAGGGAGGAAGACAGATATGAAGGAATTTTAATCTCACGGTTTAAGGGAAGATAAATAGTGTATACTACACCTACACCATTGTGATCGATTCTAATCCCCTTTACCTAGAGTCTTCAACCATTGATTACAATAGTCATACGGACCCCAACCAAGTAAATACTGAAAATGTTAAAATCAATTAGAGACTATAAAATCTAGAAAACAATGAATTCTGAATGAATAATTATAGAATTTGTTATCAATTATGTCTATAATAGAATCTTAAGGTCATAAATAGTCTTTTTTTATTATTGTGGTTATCTGCATGTAAACTAACCTTCATAGTAAAGCATTTTTTTAATACTTTTATATTTGTTTTTAGATTTAAAAGTAGAGACATTGAAGAAATTATGAACCAGTACGGAAGTTGATGTAAACACATTAAAGTACTAGACGTATAATGTTTTATTTCTAATTAAGATATATGGTGTATTGGCGATACTCAGGTAGCTAAATTAGCACAATTAATGAAATCTTACAACTACATCAACTTTATACCTTATGTATATGTAAAGTTAGTGACTAGATGACTGTTTGACTAAGTGATATGAATGTAAATTTATGGTTAAATCATAACTAAGAAATTATCAGTAGTTACGATGTTTGAAGGCGATGCTACGGTCAGATATAGAGTATTAAAAGGAATTGTTTGTAAGTGTAAACCATCAGTGACTTAGTTGATTAAGACATAGATTACGTATACCTAATCACAGCCCATTTCAATGAGCAACTTTGACTGAAATAAGAGTACATTAAAGGAAAGCTATGAAAACGTCCAAATCAAGACTTGTCGATAGTCCATAAAATCACTAACTGTTGGACTAGGCCGTATTGATAAGTTTAAAGTAACCGGTTCTACTCCGCATTTTACTGCAATCAGTGGTTGGAGATGATGTATCAGGGTTAGGTTGTGTACACACTTTATCCGAAAACAGATGGTGAGTTTCAGTATCCGATAATTTATTATTTATTTATTTAAACACATAAATATTGGTACAAAAAGCATCAGATAAATATGCACCGCACAAATCTCATTTAATTTGTGTGGGGGCTTGGTCTTGGATAATACCTGGGTGCCCAGACAGAAGCAGGTGGTTTTCTTAGGGAGTCGAGAGTGGGGAGAGTCCGCTCTCCCTCTCCAGATGCTCTTACATGACCACGCGTATATAGCCCCTGTCATGGAAGTCTTACTAACTACCTTCTCGTGGCGGGGGTATTGTTCACGAAAGTGAGAGGAGGAAAAGCGAATGGCCGGCACTTTAACCCGGTTGGTGGACATGGAGGGTCCACCTAGGAGAGTTGGAAATCCCTCACTCCAGACCAATGGTGCACATAGGCTGGCTCAAGAATCCTGAAGAAACAAACGGCATATGAACCTATCGTTGGTCACTGCTACCATGGGACTGCATCTCCTCACGATGCTCCACTGCTTTGTGGATCAGACCTTTAGATTGAAGACTCCGGGTGTGGCCCCCTATGAAAACCACCTGCTTCAGTTTAGGCACCTGGACAGTATCTCAGCCCTCACACAAATCAAATGAGATTTTTGTGGCACATATATATCTGGTGCTTCCTTGTACCAATATTTATATGTTTAAAGAAATAAAGAAATAAGTAAAATACATATCTTTTTCATTTTATCTCTCTATGCTGATCTCGCATGTCCCTACACATTGGTTATGACTAAATGATTTTTCATAGTTGGAACTGTATTTATCAACCTTCCCATTAACATATGATTTCGTTGGATGCATTTCACTTATATTGTTAACATTTAAGCTTTAATGCTATTTTGGCTAGTTACTAAAGGTACACATAAGTACTATGTATTTGAATTAATCTATCATAGTAGATGACATAGAGTTGGAATAATGGCACCAATTAAAGATATTTTAGTAAACAGCTAATTGTTACTCCAGGACTGGCGTGTGTCAACACCTGAACTAAGGATAGGGAGTGAAGTAGTCGAACGTATCGACAACTTCACTTATCTTGGAAGTCTAATCAGCCCTCATGGGTTGATGTCTGACGAAATCTTAGCACGGATTCAAAAAGCCGTTTGGCTTTTTCCAACTTACGTCACCTGTGGCGAACAGGAAATATCCGTCTATCAATTAAGGGACGAGTATACTGCTCAGCAGTTCGTTCTGTTCTACTTCACGGCTGCGAAACGTGGCCATTAAGAGTAGAAGGTACTCGTAAGTTACTAGTATTTGACCACAGATGCCTTAGAAATATTGCTCGCATCTGCTGGGATCACCAGGTAAGTAATAGTGAGGTTAGACTCAGGATACTAGAAACTGATGGTAAGTCAGTTGATGAGGTGATGAATCTTCATCGACTGAGATGGTTGGGCCACATGTTACGTACGCCTGAACACCGATTACCAAGACGCAAAATGCTGGATAGCGTTGGCGATGGTTGGAAGAAAGTTAGGTGGGGCCAAACCAAAACGTGGCATCAGAGCATGAAGTCGCTAACTTCTAGTCTTAGCCATGTTGGTAGATGCAGACTACTTGGTTGGTGTCCATGCAACTATCGTAACCAATGGTTGGAAACTCTGTGTGACATGGCTCAGAATCGATCACAATGGTGCAGGTATATACACTATTTATCTATCCTTAATTCTTGAGATTAAAATTGCTTCATAAGTGTCTTCCTTGCTATACTATATCCTTATATACAATCTTTCTTTTATATATCACCACCACTTAATTAACTACTTCTATGAATCCGGTATTCATCTTGTTGTGTTAATGAGGTATGGCAACTTGAACCGACGCACATGTGTGCCTGGTCCTACGTTGTAGCTGACTGACTGACTGACTAGTAAACAGCGGATGTTACGTCACAAAACACAAACAACAAACATTATAAACTTAGAAGAAATAGTTGAAAGCGTGAGTCAATTGAAGCTAGACCACCATGGAAAACCTGGAAACATTGGACGAAACGGCCGTCCAGTGTTTCCAGGTTTTCCATGGTGGTCTAACTTCAATTGACTCACGCTTTCAACTATGAAAAATACTAAATCTCCACAAAACCCATTCTGATAATTAGAAGAAATAGTTTAAATGTGATTCAATTAAACAGTGAAAACGAATGAGTTTCTATCTTAACCAAAATTACTCCATGAAACAATGAATAAACTAACTTGATTAAACCATCTTGTAGAAGCAACAATATTTGGTGCATATTGTAATTTTTCTTTACTATTCCATTTTAATGTATAAAATTCCTAAATTAATAAAATAAATAAAGTGAAATTTCAATTAAAAACAATGTATATTTTACTTAAAACAAATGTCAACCAATATTAGAGTCACCATTTTTAATACGAACCTCGAGACAGTCAGTTCTACTGTACGGAGATGAAACTAGGAGAACTACTAAATCCATCGTCAAAATTATACAAGTATTGGCGAGACTATAATTTATGGATAACCTTCGAAAGAATCTGAAGTGACCTTGAGAAATGTTAACCATTCAGTAAACAGTCAGTATAGAGTAAAAATATATTATACAAGACCAAGTAATTAAGGTGGATACATTTATTTTATTTGGTCCGAAAACTTGTCAGAGCTAGAAAGAAGTTCAAAGGTTCCGAAATTGTAATGCATAAGGTAGAGGAAGTCTTCCATATGGCTCCATAATAGTTGGTCTCTAGAGCCATGAAAAAGTCACAAAAACCCTCTCAGCCTCGACCACATAGCTTCAGTATTGTTTGTGTGTGCTGCGGTTGTGTAAGTATATCATTTTTATTATGGATATGTGCCTACAATACTCATACCACTCAACAGCCAAAGCTTCAGTAATATCTGAGATTATTGCAGCCAATTTTACTGGTTCTTTTATTATACAGTTCATGACAATTATTATAATATGCCTTAGTCTCAATCTGGATCGAGTGATAAAGGTTCCTATTCTAGCAAACGTCTTCTTTCAACATATATTACATCGAAAGATAACATCATCAGGGTAGTCTGCACGACGTCTACAAGTCATTTAGTTACCACAGTCACAAATACAGGAACTTCTTAGTAGTCTCATTTATTGTAGCCGCTTAATTGTCAAGTCTTCATTAAAATCCTCTGTGAACCGATTGTACATGAGCATCAGGCACTGAAATTAGCGCCGTGACCTTGAAATCCCTCAAATGCTTCTGATTGGTTCGTCCATAAATTATGGTCTCGCTCGTATTTATAAACAGTTGTCTACAAAAAAATACTCAACATTCATTGATCTGATACTATCAGCAATAGCGTTTTATGGGTGAGGACAATCCATCTTCCAAATGAAGAGGAAATTCGGAAAAGACGTTCGAAGTGGATCGGACATACATTAAGGAAGTCGCCGAACTGAATTACGAGGCAAGGCCTAACTTGGAATCCGGAAGGGAAGCGGAAAAGAGAAATGCCAAAGAACACATTACGCCGGAAATAGAAGCAGATATGAAAAGGATGAATAACAAATACAGAGAACTGGAAAGGATTGACCAGGACAGGATTGGATGGAGAATACTGGTGTGAGGCCCTATGCTCCTCCACGGGGAATATCAGGCGTAAGGTAGTAATATTTTACAGATTAATTTATATAATTATTAATACTTATTTTAGGTTTGGGTTGCTTTCATCATGTTGATGTTTTCAGAAAATTATTAAGTAAAATTTGAATAGAATCAACAATGTTTTGTTATTCAACTTCCAGATGACTTGAATAGTTTGATATAATTGTATGTATTGTAACTTGTTTACTGAGTACTGAATTATAAACTGAAATTTACATTTTTCATAATGAAAAATATTGATACTCACCGGGGTTCAAACTAGAAACCTAATGGCTAAATATTGAATAATTTAATCACTAGGCTAATGTTTTATGGTAAATAGAATCTATTACAATGAAAACAGAATATATTTGCTGCATTCCAGTGGTAAATATTCCAGGAAGATGCAAAAATACTAGGAACGTGACACCTTACGTTAGTGCAAAATTTCTTTGTTTTCTAAACAGAACAACTTTATATAAAACTTTTAAAAATCTAGAAGGGTAATGGAAAAGACAGTTGAATGTTTTATGCTGATTGGTTTAAGGGTTATTCAACCCATGTAGGAATACAGGATTACAGAGGGAAACAGCTACATCGTCAAAGCTAGATATGGAATAAATTCATAAAGTCATTGATTGTTCGAGTAAGGTACGTTGATACTTAAAAAATGACCTGATAAGGGTCCGCGTGAGCATCGTGAATGATGGTTGTATACGAACGGTGACGTAGCGGAGAACCAATAAAAATGGCATAGATAAACTCACTTTTTATCCTCTCTACTTTCTTTTTATTAAGTGTCAAAATAGAAGCTTTTATTACATAGTAACTAATCAAAAAATATATTCGAAAGAATTGAATTTCACTTAAGTTTGCACTTAAATCAATATCCTTGTTTGTTTCCAGTCGAATTTTCCTTACTTTTTGGCAATGTATATAATTTATTAGTTGAAAGCATGAGTCAATTGAAACTAGACCACCAAGGAAAACCTGGAAATACGGCCGTCCAGTGTTTCCAGATTTTCCATGGTGGCCTAACTTCAATTGACTCATGATTTCAACTAAGAAAATACTAAATCTCTACAAAACCCCATTCTGAATGTATATAATTGTCACATTCATCATGTATGTGAAAATTTATTTTTATTAACACATTTGAATTAGCATGAATTTCTGTAAATCGATCTGTATTTCTAATTTTAATAGTTGAGATCATGAGTCAATTGAAGTTAGACCACCATGAAATACCTGGAAGCATTAGACGGTCGTTTCTTCCTATTGTGAAACTCCTCATCAGTGCAAATCCACGATCCCGCTTTGTGAGATTCGAACGCAGAACCTATCAGTCTCGCGCGAGAACGATTAGCCTCTAGACCACTGAGTCGGCATCCAACGATGTTAATGTCTAAGTTCAACTAATCCACATCATTGTCTCCAATGCTCCCAGGTTTTCCATGATGGTCTAACTTCATTTGACTCATGATCTCAACTATTAAAATTACTACACTATCCACAAAAACCCTTTCCAATTCGCATTTGTAAAATAATGTTGTTTTACTGATTTAGATGTTACGATTGAAAAAAGAATTTCAGTGTCATCCTATACAGTATTATAATTCAGTATAATAACAATGAAAGTTTCTTTATCAAAACTATTCAGTTCAAAGAATAAGACACCACGATAAAAAAATTTAATTCGCTTATGTTAAGCATTCAGAAGCGTTTAACAGGGGAGCTGTTATTGTCACCATCCTCCAAGACAACAGCTCCACAGAGAAGTAAATTATCTACCAATTAACTGTATGTTGAGTAGTTACACTGAACATAGATTGGATTAAAGCATGTTTCGTGAAGGACTGTGTTGGGGCACACTCAATGACTATCTCCTAACCAATCAGCACTAGCGATTACTAGGAGAAGACTCTAGGATGTGCTTCTGTAGAAATTGTAAATATATTATCGTCTTTCTTATTGTGATTCCTATTTCCATCCATCCAACCTTGTTATTTGAAAAAAGAATTACGTTCCTGTCCAACGATGTTTAGATTTGGTGACTTGTCGAATGAAAGAGTGTCCAAGAATACTAAGCAATAAGAGTAGATCGGTAGTAGTAGTAGTAGTCGTAGTAATAATAATAATAGAAATCATAACAAACTGTGTAATGATCAGAGTTGATTACTTTTAATAACTGGCTTAAACTGATGACATAATTTAATAGGGGGGGGGAAAGAGAATAAAAGACCTAAATAATTTGATCGGTAAACAAATGAATTAAGCACATAATGGAAGTGGTTGTAATGCATCATCGACTAAAATATTTGGAATGTATGTATGAGACATATGTCAGCATCTAGTTTAGGTCAGTCAGTCAACTACAACGTAGGACCAGGCACACATGTGCATCGGTCCAAGTTGCCATACCTCATTAACACAACAAGATGAATACCGGATTCATAGAAGTAGTTAATTAAGTGGTGATAATATATAAAAGAAGAGTTGCATATAAGGATATAGTATAGGAAGGAAGACACTTATGAAGCAATTTTAATCTCAAGAATTAAGGATAGATAAATAGTGCATATACCTGCACCATTGTGATCGATTCTGAGCCATGTCACACAGAGTTTCCAACCATTGATTACAATAGTCATACGGACCTCAACCAAGTAGTCTGCATCTGCCAATATGGCTAAGACTAGAAGTTAGCGACTTCATGCTCTGATGCCACGTTTTGAGTTGGCCGCCCCTAACTCTCTTCCAACCATACTCTACACTAGTCAGTATAGCACGTCTTGGTGATCGGTGTTCAGGCATACGTAACATGTGGCCCAACTATCTCAGTCGATGAAGATTCATCAACTGATTTACCATCATTTCTTAATACCCTGTCTAGTTCAGGACATTATGGCAACTAACACAAGTTAGAAGGTTCTCTGTTACATATAACTAAATGATTGAGTTGAAAGGAACGGAAGTAAATACACATTTATTAACTCTTAGCTTAAGTTATAAATATATTTGTTAGCGGGAAATAAATCGGATTAAGGCATGTTATATGCATGATCGTGATGCATACGCTGATTGGCTAATTCTAAACTAATCAGCTCTGGAAGATTAATGAGGAAGCATCTATTTTTGTATATATTTAAACACATAAATATTGGTACAAAAAGCACCAGATAAATATGCACCTCACAAATCTCATTTGATTTGTGTGAGGGTTTGGTCTTGGATACTACCCGGGGGCCCAGACAGAAGCAGGTGGTTTTCTTAGGGGGCCACACCCGGAGCCTTTGACCTAAATGCCTGATTCACAAGGCAGTAGAGCATCGTGAGGAGATTCAGTCCCATGGTAGCCGGTGACCAACAATAGGTTCATACGCCATTCGTTCCATCAGGATACTGGAGGCAGCCCATGTGCACCATTGGTTTGGAATCAGGGTTTTCCAACTCCCCTAGGTGAACTCTCCGTGTCCACTGACCCGGTTAGAGCGCCGGATGTTCGCTTTTCGTCCTCTCAATTTCGTAAACAACACCCCTAGTGTAAGAAGGCAGTGAGTAGGACTTCCCTGGCAGAGGAGAAGCATTTAGAAGCTTCTTATGCATATACTATAAATATATGAACGTCTTTCTAACCATTAATTGCTGTTCATCTACCCTTATTATTTTGAATACAATTTCATTCCTGTTCAACTATGTTTTGGTTTTTTGGGGGTCTTGTCGAGTGTCATTGTATAAGAATACTAAGCAATAGGAATAGCAAAAACAATCAGTTAACAAGATTAAAATACCATATTATTAATATATTCATCATTAATAACTGTTACGTTAAAGTATAATACCCACTTACATCTGCTTCGATTGCTTGAAAATATTCCAATTCAATTAAAGTGATTTGTTGCTATAAACGATAAAAAGAAATGAGCTAATAAAAACAAATCAGAAGGGGTTTTGTGGAGATTTTAGTAATTTTATAGAGTTGAGATCACGAGACGATTGAAACTAGACCACTATGGAAAACCTGGAAGCATTGGACGGTCGTTTCGTCCTTTTCTGGAAATCTTCAGTAGTGCGCATCCACAATCCTGCCTTGCGAGATTTGAACACAGGGCATTAACACCGTTGGATGCCGGCCGGCTCAGTGATCGATCAATTAAGTGCTCTGGCACGAGACTGGTAGGTCCTGGGTTGGAATCTCGTGAGGCGGGATCGTGGAGGCACGCTTCTGAGGAGTCCCATAATAGGACGAAACGGCCGTCAAGTGCTTCCAGGTTTTCCATAGTGGTCTAGCTCTAATCGACTCGTGATTTCAACTCTATAAATTAAAAACAAATGTTTAATTAATTGAATGTAGATGATTAAAATATTGAACTAAGTTAGGTGGCTAAAGGAAGTCGACAGGAAACCCTTCAAACATCCGACATATATATGAGATGTTGATTTACTTCGGTTAGTGGTCACATTACAACTTGATCAGCACTAAAAAGGATCAGACAGATATGGAATTAGTCACTATTTACTGATCAATCAATTGTATATATTGAACTATAAATGATTAGATTTCAAGTTTTGAAATAATATTTTGTTAACTTGAATTTGTATGATCCCATAAAATGAAGGGAATTACTGTCAAATGTATGATCTTATGATGTGACTATTCAATAGTAGAGGAGCATTCTCAGTTGTTGTTTTTAGAAATGACCGAATACTATAGATCAAGTAAGAATATAATAACTGTGGTGAGTGAATTGATATTAGGTGAACTATGTTTCTACGCTAAATGGTTGGCGATAGTCATTAGGATACCCTGAACCTAGGTTTCGTGATAGTTGATAATCATTATCACGGGGAAGTTACCATCTTGAAGGACTGGATTCTACCTATGGGACTCGAACTTGAGAAATACAGTTTAACAGTCTGAAGTGCAACCACTAAGGACTTGACAAATACATTGGTCAATATGATTGTCTCAGTCAAGGAAAACCTAAATAAATCAGTAGCAGCATCCCAGACAGTAAAGTTTAACGAAGTAGATTTGAGTTCCACAGCGAGCACCAGCTCCTTCAAGCCTACATGTACCCATAACTAACGCTCAGCAATTACTACAAAACTTGGGTCCTGTTTGACTACGTACAGATACGCCTAGCATAACGAATATAGTTTTTAATAACGAGTGTAACAATAGAGTACAAAGTAAGAAATACATTCAACACATAAGTTTTAGAAGATGAAGAATGAATCCATCAAGGCCGCTGTCACCAATTTTCAGATATCTTAAGCCAAAGACAAATGAATACAGTCATTTCGTGAACCCTAACGAGTAAACTTGAACCAAAATACTTAGTTCAAACCGATATTCAACAACAGCATAGATTAACTTCAACTCGTGGATTAGCCTATCCTAACCTTCTTTCCATTTAACGATTACCACTATACAACTGGTTAGGTGGCTCTGGATGCGTGGTACATGTCACAAACACATTAATCGATGAACGTTCACGGGTTTGCCTGCTAAGCAATACACTTATTTCCTGATCTGTCAACACCCATCTTACACTACAAGTGAAGCACCCTAGTGAATATTAAGTAAGCTTTTATAAACCGTACTGATTAATTCCCAGCTACTGACCTGATAAGGTTGCTGAAGCTTAAAAGATAAGTTTGTTGGTCAATTAGTTAGATCTTCTGTGTTCAGATCAGTCAACGAAGCAGACCATTTCGTAGACATTAATTACTTTACTAAGAAAATCTTAATCAAAATAATGATCGTAGCAGTACATATTCAATTCTCAAACTCAAACAATAAGAGTTTGATTTTGTTGTGAATCTGTTATTATTGTAACATTGTATCATGAATTTAAATCGAGTGAATCGGTACAAATGAACCCATTCGACTGACACTTTATTATTCTACAAACTTAAAATATGATAACTTGAGTTTTATTTACTTATTGGTACAAAGAGGCAACAGATATATATGCTCCGCAAAAATCTCATTTGATTTGTGTGAGGAATGTGATAATACCCGGATGCCCAAACCGAAGTAGGTGCTTTTCTCACAGGGCCACAACCGGAGCATTCGACCTAAAGGTATGATCCACAAGGTAGTGGAGCATCCTCAGGAGATGCAGTCATATGGTAGTCGGTGACCAACTATAGGTTCATATGCCATTTGTCCCCTCAGGATACTAGAGTCAGCCCATGTGCATCATTGGTTTGGAATGAGGGTTTTCCAACTACCCTAGGTGGACTTTCAGTGTCCACCGATCCGATCAAAGCGCCGGACATTCGCTTTTCGTCCTCTTAATTTCGTAAGCAACACCCCTGATGTGAGAAGGCAGTGAGTAGGACATTCATTAATACTCTTGCCTACTAGCACAGTTACATAGAAAAGGAAGATTAAAAAAAAACAACTGAAAGATAAAGAAAACGTACAGCAATTAATTCAGGATCAGCTTTTAAATGTTTTTCATAACGATTTCTACCAACATCTAATGTATCATAACTTTTACGTACAATTTTCATAACATTTGGAACAGTTGAAGATTTATTTCGATGTGATGATTTATCATTCGATATTGTTTTTGCGGTTGTGGTTGTTATGACATTTTGATTTAAAGTATTTGATTGTGAGAAAATGGAATCCAATGAACTCTGGAAAAAAACAAACAAACAAACGAGATACATAAAATTGTAAGGAAAGATAGATAGTAGCTAGCAGTGGAATCCAGTTTGACGCATGTTTCGTACTATTTAGGACTCGTCAGCTGGATGTACCTGCATCTCAGACTTGTTGATGTTCACTCTGGGATTCGAACCCAGTACCTTTCGCTTCAAACGCCATCGCGTTATCCACTTGGTCACTGAGTTTTGATAGCCACTTACTTGTGCGATGGGGTGAAGTTTAAATTCATTTAGTATTGTTTGTTTGAATCTTCCCATCGATGTGTTAGGACTGCAACTGGTACATAAAATGATTAAATAAAAAAACGAAAAAAATCTTTGAAAAAAAACTTAAAGAGTTAACACATAAGTTAACCTTGAAAGGAAGGATAGAAAAGTGCTACAGTATGTAAATGTTTTGGGCACCCAGGTAATAATCCAAGCCTTCACACAAATCAAATGATGGAGTGTGGAGCATATAATCTCGATGCATCCTTATGCCAATATTTATGTTTAAATAAATAAATAAATAGAATGAATATGTAAATGGTATATGGAACTTCAATGTATAGTAATACAGAAGCATACAGAATTAATCAATTATAGGTGAGGTAACATCTAGTTTAGCCTCCAAATGCCCTGGTATGGCCAACAGTGGGTAGAGTCCGTTCTCCCACTCGAAATACTCTCGCGTGGCCATGCGTATACAGCCTCTGCCAGTGAAGTCCTACTCACTACCTTCTCACACCACGGGTGTTGTTTACGAAATTGAGAGGACGAAAAGCAAATGTCCGGCGCTTTAATCGGGTTGATGGATGTGGAAAGTCTATATAGGGGAGTTGGAAAACCCTGATTCCAAACTAATGGCTGGCTCCAGGATCCTGAAGGAACAAATGGCATGTGAAATAATCGTTGGTCACCGACTACCATGGGACTGTATCTCCTCACGATGGTCCACTGCCTTGTGAATCAGGAATTTAGGTCAAAGACTCCGAATGTGGCCCCCTATGAAAACCACATGCTTCGGTTTGGGCATCTGGGAAGTATCTTAGACCTCACACAGATCGAATGAGATTTGTGCGGCGCATATTTGTCTAGTGCTTCCCTGTACCAATATTTATGTGTTTAAATAATAAATAATTATAAAGGTAACATCTAGTTTAAAGATGTACTGATTCATGTCGGGACATTGAAAATTAGTACCAAGTATCATCAAGTAACTAGATATCTTTTTTGAAAGTTATACTCTCAATATGGTTTGTTATATTCCCATTTTATTCCAGTTTTACATAGATTCAGAAACAATGAAAATGAATTTGATAAGATGGTTACTACAACTTGATTAGAAAGTACAGTAGTATATAAAGTAATTATAAGCAAGAATATTAATATGCTTGAGCTAAGTCGATTTTCTCGGTAACGAACGAAGGCCAATGACACAATGACAAGATAGGCTAATCTAATCCGTTTTCCCAGGCCCCAATAACTAGAGGAAGAAGTCCAAGGCGAAATAGGGGGAATATATATTCCGTAAGCAGCCGAGTACAAGTCATAAGGGAAAAACTCAAACGTATATATACAGCGATAATTTGTCCTTGGGCACCATTACAAAATAGCACACTAAAAGGATACAACGGACCAATAGCATTTAAGATTTTTAAAAAGTGGGGAACACGACTTGAAGATGAAAAGAGCGCCTTTAGCGCAAAAACAAGGAAATTCAAATTTTCAAAATAAAATTACAAAATTAAGCCATTTACCAAGTAAGTTCTGGGGATTTGACATCCCGAACAGAATCTGTGTCACATCTTTGAATGCGGATCCTGTTAAGTTTCCCAGTTAAAGATTATGATTATGTCCCAGACTCTGAGCTAAAACTTCCACTTTCTTTTCGACGTGTGTCAGATTAACGACGGTTATCTTGAAAAATTCGTATTATTTATTGGTTTGGCCACAAACTTTATCTTCCAAACTTCTATCATACATAGTCTATGAAGTTACTAGATCATTTAGATCATTAGATCGGTTACTAGAACACATATAAAGACATTAAAAATAAACCTTAACAGAAATATAGATTTCGCGACTGAAATATCCTGTGATAAACAGGTCAAATAATAGCAAAGGAAATATTCAATCAAATAACTACGCCTGTAGCTCTTATAGAGTTACTACCGATCCCAAGCCCGGGTAAAGGAGGAAGGGTGGGCATGGGGTTAGCGACTTCATCCCGTAGAAAACTAACTCACTGAAAAAACGCTAACCAGAACAGGTGGGCGGCCTATACTCCTTCACGAGGGGTAACAGGCGTAAGTAAGTTAATATTCAAATAGACATTAAGATTAACTAGTAGAAATACATTGTAAATTGACACATACATACACACAAGTAAAGTGTATATAAGAAAAGTAAAACAAACGTGTTTTCCGACTAACTAATAGTGATTATAGTAAAAAAGAAAAATATAAGTGACTACATGAACTAAGCTGATTTTACCAAAATATTCACCTACAACTTGTTCATTAACTAATGATAGCAGTGGTTTTATTTTCTTTAATATAGTTTATTATAGAATTTTTGTGTGTACTATATAAAATCTTTCTATTTTAGTAAGATTGTTGCTCAAAATAGACTCAGCTTCTATCTACTTAGCATCATAGAAGCCTTCGCTATACATACTATTGATTGTCATTATAAAAGCCTATATTTTGCAATTGTATAGCATCGAGAATGAATTCACCAACAAAAGAACTATAAGCTGAACCAATCATTCTTGTTTCTATGTCTCAATAAGTGTATTCTGTTTATACTCAGACACAAATTACATGAAAGTATATGTACCAAGTTGTGAGATATACCTTTCATGTATGAAATCCCGACCGTTGCTGCTACCTTGACGTGGTGGTCGGCCTATAGTGATGAACCAATCGAGCTATGCTGGCTGGAACAATCGTTCCTCAAGGTACTACCATGCCAGACAGGTCGGTTGAAGAGCGGTAAGACTAAAAGCAGCAATCCCAAAGTCCGAAGGCGAAGTCGTACTGCCAACTGTACAGAGGTGTGACGGCAGTAAGGTGTTTCCTTCAGACAACCAGCATAACAGCCCTTAAGGAGGGGTGGGGTTAGAAAAGGTCGACCCTAAAAATGCACATCTCGCCTTATCCCACGGATTTCCGTCTCCGGTGGTAAGGTCCTTTGAAGAACGGAGCTAACACGTCAAAAATTCCCCACAAAATGGCTGTGCGTGACTGGCCACAAGCAGTTGTCTCTTGGGCACTGCGGTTACGCTCCCAGGTCGTTATGACCAACACTAATCCAACTTCTTTTTCAGGTCCTTCAAGAAATACCCTTCCACGGTGTGGGCAGCCGGGAAGTGATATTAGCCCTCATACCCTTAACTGCACACGAGACCAAGTTGGTCACATTCAAATCCTTCATGTATGAAATAGGAATAACGACATTTGAACCTTGGTATTTGGAATGGATAATGTTGAAACTATGACTTACAGGTTGAAGCTTATGATAAGTTCTACTGAGTCAACCATAACCAATGTGTGATCTGGCACATATATGTACCGGTTGAAGCTTTCACAACAGTATCTATAGAAGCGCCCCCAAATGCCCTGGTACAGCCGACAGGGGGGAGAGTCAGCTCTCTCTCTACAAATGCTCTCATATGGCCACGCGTATATAGCCTCTGCTAGGGAAGTCCTATTCACTACCTTTTCACACCAGGGGTGCTGTTTACGAAATCGAGAGGATGAAAAGCGAATGTCCGGTGCTTTAACCGGGTTGGTGGACTCGAAAAGTCCACCTAGGGGAGTTGGAAAAACCTGATTCCAAACCAATGGTGAACATGGGCTGGCTCCAGTATCCTGAGGTAACGAATGGTGTATGAACATGTTATTGCTCACCGGCTACCATGGGACTGCATATCCTAATGATGCTCCACTGCCTTGTGGATCAGACCTTTAGGTCGAAGGCTCCGGGTGTGGACGTGTGAGAAAACCACCTGCTTCGGTTTGGACACCTCGGCGGTATCACAGCCCACGCAAATCAAATGAAATTTGTGCGGCGCATATGTAACTGGTCTTTCCTCGTACCAATATTCATGTGTTTAAATAGAAGAAATCTATAGAAGCGGTAACGAATGGACTATACGGTTATGGAAGAAAATATGAATTGGTAAAGTGTATGACAACTTCGAAAATTATGGTCTAAGTGAGGGTAAAAGTGATTGGATTTGTGAATATTGGATATTTTGAATGATAGGGTTCACAATTATTCATAATGGAGTAGAAGCATTTACTCCTAATCTTACACCTGATTATGAATATTCCTTAATACATACCTTCTTGAACTATATTTTTAAATACTTAGTCTTTTGTAATATTATTGCTACTATATTAATTAAACCTCTTTTGTTAATCATGTCATCAAGTTAATTTAGAATGGAAATTTAAGCTAACATACACCCATACGACACTTCATGTTGTTAATTCTTAAACTTATGTCACCTATGACGAATACGAGATATCCGTCTACCAATTAAGGGACGAGTATACTGCTCAGCATTTAGCTCTGTTCTACTTTACGGCTGCAGAACGTGACCATTAAGATTAGATAATACTTGTAAGTTACTAGTATTTGACAACAGGTGTCTTAGAAATATTGCTCACATCTGCTGGAATCACCAGATCAGTAACCGTGAGGTGAGATGCAGGGTGTTAGGGAATGATAGTAAATCAGTTGGTGAGGTCATGAATCTTCATCGACTGAGATGGTTGGGCCACGTGTCACTTCTAGTCTGAGCCATGTTGGTAGATGCAGACTACTTGGTTGGGGTCCGCGTGACTATCGTAACCGATGGTTGGAGACTCTGGATGACGGCTCAGAATCGATCACAATGACACAGGTGTATACACTATCTTCCCTTAAACCTTGAAATTAAAATTGCTTCATAACTTTCTTCCTTCCTATACTATATCCTT